GTCCACAGTTCTGTACGCTTTACGTTAAGCAATTATTATGTGTCCAATCTGGAGTCAAGAAATGAGCAAGACATAGGCTGCTTTGTAAAATACTGGATTTTACTGGTAAAAGCCTTTGTATTTTCATCACTTGTTTCCAAAGTTCTCAATGTCTGAGCAGTAATAGTACTATAAATAGTATACTCTTTATTTAGTACACTCATTATATGCTTTACTTACAAGGTACTGCGACAGTACATCCTCAGCAGCAGTGCTGAGGAAAGCTGCCTTTCAGGCTTTGGTTTCACACTTTCATGATTCATAAAGTCTGGGCTCAGTCACAGAAGCTGCTGCATGCAGGACAGGTTTCCCAGCAGCACTGCAGGCTCTGGAGCAAAGCAGGAAGCATTTGCAAGCGCAGTGAGCTTGCAAGAGCTTTAATGCACTTTTTAACACAGCACAAATAAGTCTGGGTAACACCTGCACAGGCATTTACTCAAAATCAAAGAATACTTTTGGCTGTGAATTTACATAAAATCTTAGATTTGATTAAGTTGCTTTTGTGACCATCCTAGGCCTGTAAAGAAAAAGGGTTGCAAAAGTGTAATGGGGGGAGCTCTGCAAATTGTTCAGGTTTAACTCAGCATCTAGCCACAGACTGGCAAGCACAAACATGCAGGACTAATACTCCTAAGCCTTCACTGTCATTGCTGTTCTTACTATTAAAGGAGTTAACAGTTTGCCTTCAATGTTAAGATCCCATTGATGGTGTCTCTCACAGTAATAACAACCCACACTGTAGGCAAAGCCAAGGAACATAAGGCAAGAACTTCTTTATTCAAACCAGAGAGGGAAGAAAAAACATAAGAAGGAGTCCCTCACAAAGCTGAGTGATGGTAACATGACTTTCAGAAGAAGACACAGCAGCAGTAACAAAGTACTGGAACAAATTGCCTGCAAAGGCATCCCTGGATCTTTCTGGGCAGGAGCCATGGTAGTTTTGGTTGTAACAAAAACATTTGACTCCTTTTCACTAATTGAGACTTTTAGTTAATTTAATGTTGTCTTTTTCAGAGCTCTTAGAACTTCTGCTGAGTCTTTAGATTGGAGTCAGAGGTTCAGCAGGGAAAGAACCCACAGACTTCTTATACGATGGCTTTGTAACTACCCTTCTCTTGTTCTTCCTCTTAGGAAGCCCATTCAGGGAAGTTCCAAGCTTATGACTGGGGCAGTTCAAAGAAGAACATGGAAAAATACCAACAGGTATATTTTGGTGAAATAATATTATAACACTCGGACAACACAGAAGCACACATGAAGAGAGCAAGGATGTGGTAGGATACATTTTCAGAATACATATAGATGGAAGTATTACTACCTTCCAGTTTGGAATTCAACAGAGAAAGCATGCAAGCACTAATGGCAACAATCAACTAAAAAAAAAGCAGGGGAGGGGGGGGTGAGGGGAGACAGAAACATTTAAATTAAAAAAATGATCAATAAGAATAAAAAGAAATAAGGGCAGGAAAGATAGAATAATGAATTTGAAAAAAGAAAAGTACATCTATTTGATAAGACTAAAGAGGCATCTCACCTACTAGCATGATCAAAGCAGTTGCCAATGTATAAGTGCTTAAGAGAACAATATTAGGAAGAGGGCAACTGGAGAGCTAACAGTTACCCTGGATTCTGGAAGCCAGAGGCATAAGGAATTTGTCCTCAATTCAAGAGTCTAATCCTCTCCATTGACCCTCCTACACTTTAGGTCTCCACAACAGCCTGTCATTATGAATTACACATTTTAATGATAGCTCGCATGAAGGGCAACTTCCTTTGGTTTGTCTTGAATTTGCTTGCCCCTGGAAAGTCACTGGATGATTTCTAAGTTTTGTGTTATGAGAAGTAATAGGGTGATTCCTTCCTGTGCTCTTTTTTAATACCATTTGTGATTGTATAATGCTGTCACTTGAACCTGCTCTGTCCTCTATTTTCCAAACCCAGGAGTCCTAAACTATTTGTTATTCCAGACTCCTTTTCAACCTTGTCACATGTGTTTTCTAACTAGACCATGTAAGTCTTCTGGGGCTGACCAGTGCTTCAAAAGGACCACGATGAGGGTTTATAGAGGCATCCTGACATTTTCTATCTTGTTGCAGTTTCCTGTCCTATGAATTCCTAACTGAGAGAGCAAAGACCAACAGTAACACTATCAGCTCAGGAGGCATTTTTCCTTTGTGTTATCAGCTGCGCCATCCCTACAAGCAGACAGAAAAGACAATCAAGGGAATTTCTTCCTGTTTAGTTTAGGCACCTTTGAACACTGGCAAAAAGAAACCTCAAATGCATGTCTAAAGTTTGCTGTGCTTTCCTAGACATCCATTCCTGTATTTATTCATGTTTTTCAGGCTACTCCTCCTCTCTACAATGTAGAAGAGATGACTGTACCAACAGCAGTATGGACTGGGGGGCAAGACTTGCTTGCAGATCCCAAGGATGCAGCCATTTTACTGTCTCAAATTAAAAGGCTCATCTACCACAAAAGGATTCCTGGATGGGCACACCTGGATTTCATCTGGGGATTGGATGCACCTTTGCACGTGTACAATGAAGTTATTGATCTGATGCAGAAGAATGCTTAACCCACAACCAGTAGCCATACCTGATTCATGCTAAGATGCTTGTTTTCACTGAGTATACACAAAACTTTGCATCTGATGGTTTCTGTTGGAGTCAGAGAAAGGGTTTCTCCTGATGCTAATTTCCCAATACATGTCACTGCAATGCCTTTTGCATCCTGATGTTGCACTTCATATATTCTGGTAACCTTGTGGATCAGTAATCACTTTTTAATTGGTACATCCTCATTCTGCAATAACTGTACTTTGCTGACAGAAGAAAGGGTTTTTTTTGCAGCCTGCTTTCTTCTTTAAACCCTAACAATAGTGAAAGCACTGACTTTCTCTGGATATGTGAACACCAGAGAGTTCAAGGTGTTTTCCATTTTTTGTATTGTTTCTCAGTTTATGGGGCTTGCAGTTATTGCAAAGTAAGCCAAGACTAACTCTAGCAGTTATGGTATTGATTAATTTTATTATTAGATGAGACAATGAACAGAAAGTAAAAACTGAGTTCACACCAAAAAACTCACTCCTGACAAGATGATGGTTTGTCTTCATTTGAAACAGGGCTGCTCACTTTTTTCATGAGAAAGAGTGAGGGACACAGGGAGGGTAGACGCAGCAGAAAACAGTAGTCAGTCTCATGGCTCAAGCATGCACTTGGAAGATAGAAAACTTGGGTTCAATATCTGTCCCCCCCTTCAACACAGAAAAATCTTGGCAAATTCAATCTTTGCTGACAACAGCTTCAGGATCTGTGTACATGAGCTCTCCAGGGTGGGAGAAAGGAGCTGGTTTCATCTTGGCAATGCTGGCACTTACATGGGACACTTTGGTTCAAAGTTACACTCTGAACCCAGCAGGAACCTCCCATCTCTTGCCATTTCACATGGAAGCTACTGGCTGCCAAAGAGCTGAGCTGTTCTAACCCTTATCATGGCTATGAGAAGCCTCTTTGGGTTTTAAACGCTAAAATGAAAAGTACTCAACCACAGCCAGAAAGAATTCATTATCTCCATCCCATGCGTAATTAGACCCCTTTGCTCATTCGTGGGAAGGGCTGCTTCGAAAACAGTGCTGAAGAAATTGTCATCCTATTTAATTTCCTGGGTAACTCTGGCTCTACCAATCCTGTTTCAAATGGGTACTTACTGCACAAAGACTGTGCGTTGAAGGATACCCTCCATGGTTATTAGGTTACACCATCATGGTTCACTGTCCCTTCACAATGAGATGTCATTAGCTTCACTATGAAAAGAAACACAGTGCATTTAGGGGTTTCCTTTCAGAGTGACACCATCATTCTCCATTTGAATCAAATGTTAATATGGACTAATCTGGGATGTTAACCAGGGCAGGTACAGCTGTTACACTAAACTGGTTATACTCTATAACCAAAGGGTCAATGTCTCACTCTGTGATATGGTTCATTAGCTGAACAAATTAACCATGCCTGGTATCACTTCTGCTCCTTTCCCTTCCAAGACAAACAACAGGTCTATTTCATTTCCTGAGCCCACTGCTGAAGCCTGTCCCATCGCTTTGTTCTCCATGAATGTAAGTAAGTAGAGTTTGAACCAAACAAAACAGCTCCCCTCCAGACAAGAACATTCCTTACATCCAATACAAATTCCTGGGGACAAATATCCTCCAGAAAGTCAGCCCTTCAACTAACTCATTGCTTGTAGAAGAAACACGTGAGGACTCAAGACCTACTTTATAAGTTTCCAACACTTAAAATGGGAAATGAAACAGCAATATATCTGAAAGAAGCCAGAGCAACCCCTAAATTCACCCAAGAAAGAGATTTCAGCCATTCAGCTATTTTGCAACCTTGGAAACCATAAGGGAGGCAGGGTGTTGAATTTTCTGGAAAAACAGTAAGAATCAGGTTAGGCAAGGAGCTTTGGAAAAATCATGGGGACTGCTGATCCCACCTGGAAACATGAGGAGGGACTAGACATCATGTTGCAGAAGCCCTTCAAGGTGATTGTTTTATTGTTTGTCACTTAAAGACATCAAAGCAGATGAGTTACATTCCTTTTCACTGAGAAATTACCAAACTACATTTTCACCATCACAAAAAATGTTGTCTACTTTATATGTAAAACAGAAGTGTCACTGTGGCTTCACTGATATCCTGTTCTTATTTCACTCCTTTCCTTCCCCCCACCACCCAACGGCATCATATTATTTTCAGTGCTGCTTCCAAGAACACATCTTTTCAGTGCTGCTTCCAAGAACACATCTTTTCATCTGGTGTTCTTCTAAATGGTCATCAGTCCATAATGAAACACAAGATCTTCTGAAGACAATTATCAATTAATTGGCTAAAAAGGCTGCTCCTCACATAGGAGGATCCTACTTTGTAGCTAGCTTAAAGACACAGAAGGTGTCCTGCCCATGGTTATTAAGCCAGTTTCGGTGAAGACTGAGCCCCCAGGCTGTCTGTAAGTAATTCAGCAGTTAGGCAAAGATCTTCAGTGATACTATCTTTTCAGAGTTGATGAAAATGGCTTTGGAGAAGCGAGAACCCATGTTTGCTCCCTCAGAGAGAAAAGTTGTATGATGTTTTCAAGTCTCCTTTAGCACCAGAGTGTCCTTACAGAAGCCATGTCAACTCTGAGCGACTAATGTAGAATGATGGGTTTCATGAGTTGTGCTGCTCACTGAAAAACAAGACAGTCTGTAATGTTAAACTTAACAGAAAGCAAATGAAAAACAATAGCAGAGACAGTGCTCTTGAAAGTGTATGTTGAAAGAAGCTGGACACTTCCTCCTCTTCGTCCTGAAAAGATTACATCTGGAACAGCCCCTCAGCTGGATGACAGTATAGGGCAAGGTCTGCCACAGCCTCAGGGAACTGGAACACCCAGGTACAAGCTAAACATCCTAATTACTGATTTGTAGGTACTTCTTAAAATCTCCTGCTCCATGGCTCATTTTGGGGTTACAAATTTCACCAGAAGATCTTTTTCATCTCAGAGATTTCCCCATTTCTGAAACATTGCCAAAGCAGCACTTAAACAAGCTCTACAATACATGCTGCCAACTCATGACACTGACAGCTGCTACCCTGAAGTGCTCATTGTGTTCTGGCTTCCTTTTATCAGCGCAGGTTTCTGCCAGTGAATCAGTCTGCTAGTGGAGACAAACTAGGAACTGAGGCAGAGGACACAAGCAAGGCAGTCAATACAGAGGTAAGTTGCTTGTACATATATCTTTATATGCCTTTTTTCTCTGTTGCCTGTCTCCATAAAGACATTCAGTCTTGGTTTTGTGCAGTTGCTTGTAAGAATAGACAGCTTTTTGCCTCTCTGATCCATATGCCTATTGGTATACACAGAAGTGCTTGTTGGCTCACAACAGAAGACACAGAAGTTTAACCTGCACAAAAGGAAGAACAAGAGCAACTATTTCATTTCCCTCAGCTTGTTTTCTTCAGGCTGAGAACAAGGGAATGAAAGTCTCAGTGTTGCAACAGTGTGTGTAAACTGAACCTCCTGCTATTGCAGTGTAATGCACATGCATGTTTTGTGAGTAGGGCAAGGCAGTATATTCTCATATACATTCAGTCACAGTTGCTTCTCTGGTTGGTGTGTGCATGCCTTACAACTTATATGAAATAAATTTAGACTGCTTAAAGAACAAAGATAGATAAATTTCTGGAGGGCTTCTATCTTAGTTTTATTAAAAAGACATAACGAACTTTCAAGGGCATTTCTCTCTCTGACCTTTTTAACTTCTAAGCATTCTTTAATGACAGTTTAACATGCCCATCCATCTCACTAGATAAAATGTTGCTCACATCTCCTAATTGTCTTTATTCCTGCACCGTAGGGAGCAGTGGTCTGCCAAGACTGATACTGCTTAGTCCACTATACCTTGTTTAAAAGGCAAATAACTGGAAGTCCATGAGCAATGCCAGCTAAGCCAGGTGATATTAAAGGGCACTGAGAAAAGTTTGCCTTAACAAGAGGAATAGTTTAGCCTCTGCACTGCATTGGCTAGTTTTGAAAGTGATTTGAAAACAAGCTGAGACATTAGCAGAACTTTTTCTGCCCAAATAAGATTCCCTGTGGAGGGACGGGGAAGCATAATTTACTGCCATTAGAATGGAGTAAAACAACAGAAAGCTAAAAAGAGTGTTTGGCTGTCTATGTAGTTGTGAGACTTCTTGTTTTGACAACAGAAATTAAGAGGGATTTAATATACAAAGAGAATTGAATGCAGTGTGTTTTGTTGCCAAATTTAAAGTTCTGGGTGTTTCCAAACACTGGTTCATTCGAACTCTCCAATGACTCATGAGGTTTGATTCTTTCAAATTTCTTCAGTCAAATTTAAAGGTTAAATTTCTGGTTAAATACCAGAAAAATTTGAAATTCCTTTTCCTATAAAGAGACTTAAAGAGTGCAAAAATATCTTGGTTACCCCTCCCTAACTCCCACAAATCCTGCTCATCTTCCCCATTACTTACCAGAGAATACTTTCTTATTTTATCTTGATTTGTAGCTCCATTTTCAAGTCAGAATACACTTCATAGAACAGCATGTCTCCTCACAGCAGATGTCTTATGCTAGAAGCAGACTCCAGAAACATGTGGCTGCATGAAAACCTCTGTTCTTCTTTAAACATTGGATTCTCCATGTCTAATGGACCCAGCAATGCCCGCTTTCAGAAAAACTTGTTTACGTAGTCTGCTTAACTTCCTAATGCAAACTATAGTAAAGGCAGGTCTCCTATGACATTCTCTCACAAACACCAATGCCCAGCCAAGCTGTGACTACTTTTAAGCTACATGGGCATTGACTAGCTGTCTAGTTCACTTTTGCTGACTGTTAAACTAGTTGCAGAACATACAACAGCTGTCTTTGGCCTGCCTTTCCCCCAGCAACATGCTAACTCCATTGAATAGTCTCCCTCAGCAAAAAGTCCTCAGAAGATCCTGTGAATCCATTCCCTTACAAACTTGTGTCTCAGTGCTGAACATGGCAGATATTTACAAATGACATCCAGAGTTAATTACAGGATGTACAGAAAGGTGAACTAACATAAACACACTGCAGTCATAGAAGTGTGCCCTCTTCTTCTGAGGAAACCAAGCTTACAAAAGCAGTAATGTCCCCAGTCATTACTGGTGAGGCAATTTTACTGGACGCCTCGATGAGCTGGAGACTTACATTGCATTACCTGACCTTTTTGTCCCTGACCCTTTCGTCCCATGGATTCTCTTGCTGAACATTTATATAGCCTGCCTGATCTTTACAGTCTTTTTCCACATGCAGAATGGCTGCTACTTTTCTCTTTGCAGCCCTCATTCTCTCCTCACTGATGCAGGCACAGCATACAACAACTATTAGATATATAATGGCTTTTCTAGAATGTGTAAGCACAGTCCTGAGCTTCATGTACGAATCATTTTTGTACAGTTCGTCAGATTGGATAGAAAAATCCTATCCTACTTACTTGCAGCTCTCTTGTAGGCAAGGACTGCTTTTCTTGCTCTTCAAGAGTTTTTAACTGACAGTCCCACATCCAGTAACCTTCTGGGCTGCAGAACCTTCTCTTCCATTTTCTAAGGAGCATCTAAGTCAACGTTTGTGTGTTGAAAGCAAAGAAAGTGTTCCTGCATTCATTGACTGGGTTCTGGAAAATAAAGACTGAAACCTGGAAGCATGTATAGTGTAGGTGAAGTCAGCATAACCTGGTGCTAGATAGACTGCACTCTGCATTCAGAGAAGCTAATCTGGTACCACCAGTCAACCCAGGAAAGGGCAAGGTCTCACTTTCCCATGACCAATACAAGATTTGCAATATGGACTGCCATTTCTAAGAAATATGGGAGGTAAGCCCTTGGCAACATGAAGTCAGTCTCGGGCTCCACTGTTCACTGCTGTAAAACTAAACCATTCCATGGTTTCTTGGCTGGTAGTAGCCATTGATTTTGAGACAGAAACATTGGACGCAGAAGCAGCAGCAGGAAAAATGCAATTTCTGGGGATAACAGAAGAAGCAGGCAGCAAGGGGTTAGCGAAGAAGCCTGAGGGGCTGGTAAATGGAGACCTAGATGATTCAGTTTCAATCTGAAAGGCAAGGCTGACAGGGAATTGACTTACGGGGCTTCTGGGGAACCACACATGGGGACGTTGCTCACTTCATGTTTTCAAAGGAACTAGTTTCAAATAGAACTTGAACCTGGTCTGGGGCACATCACTCCACAGTGAAAGCACAAGCTAGCACTGACCTGGTGCAAGCATAGTGCCCTAAGCCCATTACATCTCTTCCCAGAGTCCCTGTATAACTGCCTTTGCACCTGTCACAAGCCTCATTGACTGTCCCTCACCCCAGCATACCACTGACCAGCACCAAGAATGGCATTTGAACCCAAAGGAGGAGAGGGCAGGTAGAAAGAGACCTCTCACATCATTCCTGGTGAGACAGGAAACAAACAGTGCTTTCTTCTCCTTTCACTTCTCCTGCTGGCAGAGAAGAGGAGGCAGATAAAGGCAATCTGAGTGATTGTCATCTCAAGTACTCATGCTTCTTTGTCAGGCTTCTGTTAGATTCATGCCAACACCTTGCCCTGTCTGCCAATCACAGCTCCCTTGTTACCTGCAGAGTGTTCAGGCATGTTCACGTGTGGTATGTCAAAGTGTTTTCCTCATCTGTTCTGCAGCCCTGCCTGTTGAACAGGGTGAGCTGCAGAGTGCCTCCTCACAAAGGTACTTATTCTGGGAGCCCCTTGGGGAACAGACTGTAGGCAACCTTCTTCAACTCCCCAGTTGTGTCTTCCTGTGGAATTCCATGCCTCTCCTAATGCAGACAACCCTGCATGTGCTCTTTCACTCAGCCCCAAGATGTTGTGCCTCCTCATGCTGCTCTGCTCTCAAGCAATTGCCTTTTCAGCAGGATTCACAACAACACCCTCCACTCTGAACTCAGATGAAAGCCAGTTCAGGAAGACTCGTAACCCTGAATCCCTTATGAATGTTGTAAGTTGGGTCATTTTCTCTCTCTTTCTTTCTCAAGTGTCTCTCCAAATACCCCATCACTAACAGTCCCAGTGAGGATGCTAAAAAGTGTCCCTTCTGCATTTCTTGTTTTCCCAACCTGCCTTTTCCAAAACCACTGCATTACTGACAGCGCTGCAATGAGAGTTGGCTATGAATGTGCCAGGGACAGATGCAACTCTTGCATATGACATGAGGACAGACACATAACACTGCAATGGAGGGTGCTGGCTGCTACTTTTGCCTCCAGGGACAGGTAACTCTCCAGAGGGGCACTGGAGATCCAGGCTACTGTATTGTGACTCCCGCAACAGGACTCAGCCCTGGACTGTGACCAAAGCTAGACTACACTCTCCACTCCATACCAACTGAATTTCATTGTCTGCATTTAGGGTGAACCCCAACAGAAAAACGACGAACACAAGGCTGGGCGATGCCTCATGACACCTTTTTGCAGTCACCTTTCTCAACACACACTGGTATTTCTGGCTGCCGTACAAAGAAGGGAAGGTATGAACCTGGCAAGAGGACAAAGATCCTCCAGCATTATGATAGGGAGCACCAGCTAAGAAGAAACATCTAAACAGTCCAAGCTGCCAGAGAAGAATTCCTTTGCTGCAGAGGCAAAAGCTGGTTTCTAGTCTCAAAACAAAGCCCTCCCTTTCTGTAACAACCACTTTCCTCAGTATAGTGGCAGGGGAGGATGAATTCCCTCTTCAAGTAGCAGATTCTCATTACACAAAGTAATCCAAGACCCATTGCTCTGAATCACCAAAAATTTCCTCACAGTACATGCAAAATTAGGTGTAGGTGGTCTTATGAGTTCCTTAGTGACAAGAGCTCCACCCTTGTTTGTCTTGCCTGCTTGGCTTTCCTAACTACACTTCGGCAATGAAGGACTGATTATGGACCAAAACCCACAGCTTTTGGCATTGTCTTATATCAACACTCCTATGTACTTAATTTGTAGAAAGGTATGATCTGTATCAGCCTTGCAAAACAGGACAAACTATCTCCCAAAAAGTTAGTCACTCAGTGCAGTCCTGTTTCATCCCATAATGTGCTGTCGAATACCAGACAACTACCACTTAAGCAGGACTGAAGAAGACTCTGGTGCATCTTTTTACAAGACCTGTAATAATCATTCTCAGCCATGGTCCCTGTGGCAGGGGCCTTGCACTGATGTCTCAGAACAGCCCACATCCACACTGCTCAGCTTGGTTACCCTCCAAAACAGGACAACCTGCATGTTCACAAACTCTCCTTTGGCTTCTCACAGAGTGAAATTATCAGATATCATGGATACCCCAGTGAGAAACACGAAGTTACTACAGAGGATGGGTACATCCTTAGTGTTTTCAGAATTCCTGCTGGGAGGAACAGCCGAAATACAGGTATGACACAGTCATAGGATGGAAGGAGGAAAAATAGGAGAAAGCCTGAGGGTCAACCCTTCTATGGGTCCCCCGTCTTTCTCCTTTGCACATGCTGTGACATGTTCCACACCTTTCAGTCTCAGCAAGACCACCTAGTCAGGAATCTGGCCTGAATTCTGAATCCATCTGAAACCCATGCATTCAGTGTCTCTGTTCCTATTTGAGACTTTTCTAATAGTTTTGTAATATCACAGGTTTGTTCTTTCATGTGGGCTGGGGAGGATGTGTTAAACTGGATTTTGGAAGGTTTTGCATTAGCATTCTAAGTAACATACATTCAAAATAGAAGCCTGACAACAAAGTCTCTCAGGTTGGGCATATGACTATTAGTTCCTAGCCTTTGAAGGACAGAGATATTCTTAAGCAAGTTGATAAGAATAAAAAAAGCAAATGCCTTTCATTTTTTTTCATCATGTTTTCTGAATGGAGAAAGAATTTCCACCTGGAATTTGAGGTGCCCCAATGATGTTATTTTGTTTATTACTCCTTACTAGAACTATAGAATAATTCATTCTGAATGCCTACTCCTATTTGGATCTCCTCCTTCAGAGATCATCTGGACCAGCCTCATTGTCAGAGTAAGGTTAACAAAGTTAGATCAGGAACCCTTCTCAGCTGGCTACTAAACAGACCTAAGGGTAGATACGCTGCCTTATCTTTCATACGTTATTTATATTTACAAAATACATTTACAAATACCAAAAATTAATGTTTGTATTTCAAACACATACGCCTTCAGCAGCTTTCAGCTGTGGATATATGGTTTCAATATAGGCACCTGTAAGTTTGCTTTCCAGTACAAAAGGAGCTGGCGACAGGCCTCCTCATTAAATTCCTTATTTGACAGTCCTGTCATGAAATCGTTATGAAATGTCATTAAATGTTTCCGGCTTACATGGAACAAACCCCTCAGGTTTCTCCGACCAATATCTATGCATAGTTCTCCTGGGAGCTTCTTGAAGAAGGAAAGATTTAAACCCTCTTATAAACTAAACTCTGCACCCCAATCTTAAATACACAGTAACGACTGCTCCAATATAAGAATATTTTTCTTTTCCAGGGCAAAAGCCTGTAGTCTTCCTACAACATGCTCTTCTAGGAGATGCTACACACTGGATTTCTAACCTGCCCAACAACAGCTTGGGCTTCCTCCTCGCAGATGCTGGCTATGATGTCTGGATGGGAAACAGCCGAGGGAATACTTGGTCTTTAAAACACAAGACCCTTAATCCCAGCCAGAAAGAGTTCTGGCAGTTCAGGTACTCTGTAGAGGGAAAATTACTCAGACAAAAACTCTGAGGGAACTAGATAGCTTCAGCCTGAAGGCTTTTACCTAAACCAACACCAGAGCAGAGTTTACACCAACCAAGGAGAGTAAAGAACCAGATGAAGAAGGATGCTCACTACTACACAGAGTTGAAAGCATTGGCTGGGGAAGAGATTTCAGACTGGGAAACAAAATGGAATACTCAGTAATTCACACTGTGATAGCTAAATTGCCTGCTCACATTCTGTGTTTCTCCTCTGTAGCTTCGATGAAATGGGTAAATATGACATTCCAGCAGAGCTGTACTTCATCATGAATAAAACTGGACAGAAGGATGTATATTATGTCGGTCACTCTGAAGGCGCAGCATCAGGTAATGTCAGGACACTCACAGTTCACAACCACGCATGTTTATATATGATCAGGAGGTAGGTCACCCTATTGATTCAGTTGTTTTTCTTGTTTATAGAGAGCTAGCAAACATAGAAGTGTCTTCTGAGTTGAGATTCAGAAAATATGCAAAACTTTTCTAAACCAAGCTTTGACTACCCTTAATAAGCAAAGAAACCCAATAGTAGATCCAAATACAGTTCAACTTTTCATATAATTAGAGACATGAGAGTAGTTATTTACTGTCTACTTCAGGTATTTTTCTTAAATTCTTAGCAACAGGAATTTTTAAGTTCCTCTTTTATATTAAAACATTCAGTTAATTCCTTTGTGAACAGGAAGGATAAGCTAAAAAGATAAAACAGAAAATATAATACAGGACTTCAAATAACAAGACAAGGAAAAAGAACCTTAACATTACTAAGTCATGTGACTTAATGGCAATGTTAAAATTTAAAGCATAGCTTATGAGTTGCTTTAACTGGCAATATTACTGTTTAAAATAATATTGTCAGAGACTGAACATTAGGAAAAAAGTGTCAATAACTTATTTTCTCTTGGTGCCAGCCTTTAGCATTAACTCACTGCATGGCCTCTGAATGCAACTAACTTTCTCTTAGAATAAGTTGAGAGTTCCTGATGTTTGCAGTTTAAGTGTAAGAGCTGTGAATGGACATTGACTAGAAAATGAGCAACTGCCAGTTCATTCATGTGAAATGACCCAGAAGACAAGAGAAGGAGATGTGGGAAAATCATATATTGTCACAGTTCCAGACCTTTTCTTTCTTTTCCTCTCATGAAGTTACTTAAAGACTCTCATGGCAAAACAAAGTAATGATCTAGGACTTCTTCAGCTGTCTTTGATGCAATCAGTTGAAAAGATTCAAAGCTCCCCGTATTCAGCTAATTATTCTGCAGTTTAACGGAAGCATGAACATACATAGACCTTTAGAGACTATAATATGAAAAACTCATTTTTCATGAGAGTTTTTTGAACTTTAGGGGAAATTGATTTTATCACAAAAATCTCATTGACGTGTTGCCTACAGAAACTGTTCTGATAAATGCCATATTCTGACATGCTCTAAAACTCAGAATGAACTTTGCCTCCCAATAAAATCCGTTTCATGATTTAGCTTCAACATTTGCCTTAGGTAAAACATGAAGCACAGACAAACATGAACAGACAATGGGTTGCAGATCTAGCCTAATTTCTCATTTGCTACCTACTATTTATTTGTTTATCATCTTGTCTGTGGAAGATGTCTTCACTAACTCAGGCTGTCTCTTATGCACTTGCAGGCTTCATAGCATTTTCTACATACCCTGAGCTGGCTAAAAAGGTGAAAATATTCTGTGCTCTGGGCCCAGTAACCTCATGTTCACATGCTACAAGCCCTCTGGTTAAGATAACAAATCTTCCTGAACCACTGATGTGGGTATGTCATTCTTTCCTCTAAGGGTCCCAATGCTTGACTTAACTTCACAGGGTTCACCCAATCTGAGGCGAAGTGTTCCTGAACAGATGGCATGCTGATGCTGAGCTTGGGATGAATTGAGTGCTTTTGAAAAATATGTTCCCAGACTCTGTGAGGAAAATACTGGAGATATAGGGCTTGTAGCAGCAGGTCCCAGTCAAGCAGGAGACTTGATCTCAACTAATATTTTGCTGGCCTCATGGAGGAGGAACTAAACCAGAGCTGCAATAGCAGCTATACAATCTCTGGGATTTCAGAAATGAGTGACCACTGAGGTCATTTCACTAGAAATGGAGGATGGTTTCTTCCAGTATGGATGACAGTAACAAGAAGGAAGGATACATGATACACTATGGGGAAGAAGGTGTTGCTAGGGGTACTGGGAGGGCAAACTTCTTTAGCAATCTTTGAGTACTGAGTTAGGAGGCTAGGCTGTTAGCAACAGTTTCATGCATAAAATACTACTGTAACAAGGAAAAAAAAAAAAAGTGCTGTGATTGTGCTTTTTCCTTCCCTCAGTTACTATTCGGTTGCAAAGGAACCATGCACCAGGTTGGTTTTCTGAGAGGACCTGTGACACAGATGTGTGCAAGCCTGGATAAGTTTTGTGGCCACATACTCTGTTATGTAGCGGGAGGTAGCATAAAAAATTTGAACACGGTACGTATATGCAAGAACACCTACTCAAAGTAAAACTGAGGTGATATCAGAAGTTACAGAAGTTACATCTGTGCACTCTATCCTTATCTAGTAACTGCCAGGAATGTAAACATATATAAACCACAACATAGTTCTCAGCAGATGGAGGGAATGCCAGGACATTGTGCCAAACAGGATTAGAGCTAATGACGGATGGGAACAACAGTTAGGCAAATCCTAGTCACAAAAAGGACAGAAAACAATCTGGAGCTATACTGCACATGTCAATAAATGTGCACTCTTTTGAGGCTAAGTCAATCATGTTTTGGTCGTACACGGATGCTCTTTAAAAAGAGCAAATGGATGATGGAGTCAGACTTCTTGGTAATACAGTTCCCAGTTTGCTTCTTCAGCGTGCAGACACCAGGGTCCTCTGAACACTGGAATAATTAAAAAGCAGGAAAAAGCTCCTTTTCCCTTCCCACTTTTCAGACTGTTTGTACCAGAACTTGGACCTAAGGAGCTATAGTAACGGGCATTTTCCTTATTTTCCTTTTTTTCCTTTTTTTTTTTTTTTTTGTCCTTAGAACTGTGCCCAGCAAATTAATCTGAAAAAATCTGTAGAGCTACAGAAAGCCCTTCCCCTCTGTCTGTGAAGTGCAACACATCTACAGCGGGATTCACAGAGATTAGCAAGTCAGGCAGAGTGGACAGGAGAGACGGGAGAGTTGTCCCTATGCTTAACAGCACATGGATGCTGTAGTGTGTCTTAAATTCCCCTTACAGTGGCCAAAGTATGTAGAAGCTGGCCTGTGTAATGTTTATTACTGCAACATCTGTAAAGACTGAGGACCGTTTTTCTCCATCTACAACCACTTGTAAAAGCATATACGGGAAAGCAGTGAGAATCAAAGGTTCAATGCAAAAGCAACTAGAGGCATTGCAGCCTCTTTGAATTGCAGAGCTAAACCATTAGGGATCTTTCCTGACTTGGGTTAAATCACTAATGTGGTTCTCAGTGCAAGATAACAAGTCTGAGGAGGAATCTGGGGAGATGGAGTTAGAACATCTCCTTAACAGAATTATAAAAATGCAGAACTAAAAAAAAAACAGAAGAAAAAGCAATCAGTTTTGTAAGCTGGCTTCTTTAGCACTAGGACTAAAGCAAAGAGAAAACCAAAGCTTCGAAAGAATTATACACTCATAGGAATTTGATGTGAGGTGAGGAATCTACTTGGCAAGGACTGGAAGGTTTTTCCCTACCGTTGCTCAACCACAGGATCCCACAGTACTGTCTTCAGGGAACAGACTTGCTTTCATGGAGAAAATGTGCAGGTGCATACAATTAAACAGCTATTCCTAAGTCTGCTTCTCAGTTTTCTGTCTGATATTTGAGGCATAGCCTATTAAATGGGGGTTTAACACAGAAGCAGTATGTTGCTCAGGTCCTTCACATCTTTATTCTATCACAGTGTTTATAACACTTTGGATCACTGTGTTTATAACACTTCTGCTTTCTCTCCAGAGTCGAATAGATACATACGTAGGACATTCTCCTGCTGGAACATCAGCACAGGACTTTATCCATTGGCGTCAGGTATAACTTCATACTGCCCTATAAACACTCTTACTACTGCTTTTTATGCAACCAACAACCCACAGGGGAAGTCCAGAGAGGGTGGATTTGGAGAATCACATCCTCTCACATGCTTCCATGGGCACCTGCCAGAAGGAGCACTGTATCCCATGGAACACCAGAGCATTATCTGAATTGCCCCTTTGGTATCAGGCACTAGGATTTCCCCAGGACATATCAGACAGTAAGGATCAGGATAAAAAGAAAATAACAAAGGCAATACAGCAAGCAGATTTCTATCACATTCCCAGGTACTTGAAGCCTTGAAGTCAGGGTTTTCTAAACTGACAGACAATCCTTTATTACACGCAACCACTCACAAATAAAATTGTTTTTGTGCAAAATAATGTGACAAAAAAAAAAACCAACAAACCAAACCAAAACAAAAACAACCCAAGAAAACCCAACACACACACACAGAGAAACAAACAAACAAAAAACCCAACAACAACAAAACCCACAAAAAAACAAACCAAAAAAAAAATCCTCCAAAGACGAGTACTTAACTCTTAACATCAGTCCTGCAGGGCATATAGCAGCTCTTCTAGACAACCAGATCAGGAAGGCTAATGCCTGTGTCTAATGTTCCACCTCAAAACTGCTGTCAGGGCACAACTCATACATAGCCAAACTCATGTAACTACAGAGCCTTTGCAAGTGCCACCAATTCTGTGAACAGACCAGACAAACCTGACAAACAAAACACGTGATGCATAAAGAGAGGTCTTATATTATGCTAGGCTAGTAATAAACTAGTAATAAAATTGAAATGTTCTAGACATTCAGGTCCTCTTCCTGTGTGACAACTGAACCCAACTGTGCATCACAAACAGGGACTTGATACGGAGAAAACTCCAGGAACAAACTTGCCAACTTTAGTTAACCAAGGTACTCAAGTGAAAATTTAATAACAAAACATACCAAGGGACGTGACTGGAGATAAGAAGAAAAAGTTAGCAAGAGGAAAGGATGGAGCTACTCACCCTACAATCCACCCTCAATGTTTGTGGAAGCCTGCAGCCAGAGGAAGGGGTGGGAGTAACTCAGAGTTCACTGTCTAAGCCTTGGCTTCAATTACAGGCAGGAAAATACCTCCTGCACGCTGCCTTTCGGTCCCTCAACACTTCTGTCTGTTCTTTTGACAGATAAGACTTGCAGGCCAATTGCAAGCTTATGACTATGGCTCTAAGGAAAATATGAAGAAGTACAACCAGGTAAGGCAATACAGTTTCCCTGAGAACCATCCTCAGGTCCTGAAAAAACTAAGAACAGAAGAATTCACATTTCAGCACCTGTAGGTGATACAGGCAGAGGGAGAGAGTGTCTGAGGTAATGTTTCACCTGAATTTAATACTCATAAAAGTCTATTCACAGAGAAGGCATAGGCAGGTCCTTGCAGACAGCTAAGAAAGTTTGGTTTGCCTGTTCTACTGATGCAGACATGTGTCCAATGACATGTCTATTTACCTGCCATTCCCAAAGGGCTAACAGCCAATCCTAAAACTGGATGAGTATGGAGCTCTTCACTGTCCCCAAAATCCTCAAGGTCTGCCTTTCAGCTAAGGAAAGAAATCTTTCTTACAGCTAAAAGTGAAATGCATACCTTGGTTTGGGGAAGCTTAGAAAATTTCTAGAGTGAAATTATAAATGACCAAAGTATTTCCTTGACACTTAAATCCAAAGCATAACAAATAAGACCAACAGTTACACTCAGTGCCCCAGTAAAACTTAAAAATCTTCCCACTCTAAATATACACATTAATAAGCTCCACAGTTCTTGACTGATAAACAGACATGGCTCTTTCCATATCTGTTCTGAAGGCAAAAGCAGGCAAGACAACTCTGCCATATCTTATAGAAAGACACAAGAATAGAATGGATCATTACTTTTCACAGTAAACAGGGAACAGGATTAGGGAAATAGACACTAAGAGGGTGGTCTTCATCCTTACTGTTTTATTGCACTGAGTGCAGAAGGGAAAGAGAGGTGCTTGCACAGAATCCTTCCTCTAAACACAACCCCTGCTATAACAGCATTCACTCAAGTCTCCTCCCTTTCTTACAGTCTTCTCCTCCTGTGTACAAGATAGAGGAAATAAACACCCCAATTGCTGTCTGGAGTGGTGGACAGGACAAATTTGCAGATCCAAAAGACATAGCAAAGCTGCTCCCTCAGATTAAAAATCTCCTTTATCACGAGCATTTTCCTTCTTGGGGTCATCTTGATTTCATCTGGGGCCTTGAAGCAACTGACAAAATGTATCGGAAAATCATTGAACTAATGACAAAATATTGAAACCACATGCGCATGATTCACTCAGCAGAAATCTCCAGAATTTCTGTTTTGCAATAATGGTAAAACCTGGGGAAGAGGTAAACACAGAGACACACATAGTGGATAGCAGTATTTACCTGCACTTGTTTCTTGCATTCCTCATAGTTTGAGGGTTTTTATGGTGTTACTGTGACTGCTGTCTTCCTGAGAAGTTTGAGGTGTATAGGAATGAAAACTGAAAACATAAATATACTTGAGCACGCGCTGCAGGGATCACTGAAGTTGGACAATTTTTATTTCTACAAGACTGCAAGACTGAGTTTCCTAAGGCTAAACTCTGTTGGTCCCATGTGTACCTTATGTACCCCACAGAGCCATTTCCACGCCCAATTTGTATTTTCCCATGAAGACCAAAATGTGGGATTTGTTCATTTGTTTGTTGAAGTACAAGTGACCTTTGCTTTAATTAAATCGTTTATCTACTTGGCATAAAACCTGGGTTTTTTTTTTTACTTCTTTTTCCTTCCTCACATTTACTTACAGTATCGACACAGTCAAGAGATCTTGAGACACAGGTAACTGATCAGGCAATAGCTCAGTAGTTGCCTTCCGTGTCTGAAGGGGGCCTATAGGGATGCTGGGGAAGGACTCTTCATTAGGGACTGTAGTGATAGGACAAGGGGTAATGGGTTAAAACTTAAACAGGGGAAGTTTAGATTGGATATGAGGAGAAAATTCTTTCCTGTTAGAGTGGTGAGGCACTGGAATAGGTTGCCCAGGGAGGTTGTGAATGCTCCATCCCTGGCAGTGTTCCAGGCCAGGTTGGACAGAGCATTGGGTGAGATGGTTTAGTGTGAAGTGTCCCTGCCCATGGCAGGGGGGTTGGAACTTGATGATCTTAAGGTCCTTTCCAATCCTAACTATTCTGTGACTCTATGATTCTATGTGAACATGGCTCTGCCCAACTGAAAAAAAGCAGCCAGCAGAAACTGGGGACTGCCCTTTCTGGGAGATGAATGAAGAAGGAGCTAGCAGTTCTTCAAAATCTGATCATGTGGACACAAGTCTGAGATTAATCTTACTCAGCTTGGAAGCAGCCAACAAGGCGTACTCCAGGATATCAAGTTCAAACTTCTCTAGAGGGCCTTCCTGTTCCATAGAAGAAGAACCATCCACAGTGCTGTGGTTTAAGCCTATCTGGCAACTAAGTACTATGCAGCCACTTACTCACTCCCACGCCCTGCAATGGGATGGGGAGGAGAAACACAAAAACCAATAAAACACATGTGTTGAGATAAGAACAGTTTAATAATTGAAAAGGAGGTTGTGAATGCTCCATCCCTGGCAGTGTTTAAGGCCAGGTTGGATGAGGCCTTGGGTGACATGATTTAGTGTGAGGTGTCCCTTGCCATGGCAGGGGGGTTGGAACTAGATGATCTTAAGGTTCTTTCCAACCCTAACTATTCTATGATTCTATGACTTCCAAACAACAAGAAATCCAACGTCAGAAAAACTTGTAGAAATGTTTTCCTGCCCTCCATGCCTAGATGTCACCCAAACATTTGTTCATGCACTCTAAACCCCCCAGCTTCAAAGACCATGGAGGCAGTTGAGAAATAAGGAGATGGAGACTTGCCAGGCAAGCTGCACTCCTAACAATACAGCTTCTATCCTATGAGTTACTCTTGACACCACCAATGAAGTTAGAATCATAGAACAGTTAGGGTTGGAAAGGACCTGAAGATCATCTAGTTCCAACCCCCCCTGCCATGGGCAGAGACACCTCACACTAAAACATGCCACCCAAGGCTCTGTCCAACCTGGCCTTGAATACTGCCAGGGATGGAGCATTCACAACCTGCCTGGGCAATGCATTCCAGTGCTTCACCACCCTAACAGTAAAGAACTTCTTCCTTATATCCAATCTAAACCTCCCCTGTTTAAGTTTTAACCCATTACCCCTTGTCCTGTCACTACAAGTTCTTGCAAGCACTCTGAGCTGTCAGCTTTAACTTCCAAATAACTCATGGTCTTGACTCGTCCTTGTTCAAGCAATTCCTACAGCATGCAAAAGCAGTCAGCTGTTTCCCCTTTCCAGCCATTAGCCTGAAGAGACAGCCTCTTCATTACCCATGTGAGTGCCTCACATCTGCTCACCTACAGCTTGATCTGGAGGCAGGAGTTTCCATCCCCAGGTTGCACCCAAAGTGTTCATTGCTAAAGACTCAGAAAGGGTAGCGTTTTTTCCTGGGGTGTTTCTGGGTTGGACCTCAAACTCCCATTGCCCAACCAAGACCCTTTATACTTGGAGTCAGCATCCAATAGAATACTTACACTGAACAATATATCTGTTCTGCAGCACAGGACAAATACGTTAGCTGGTCCATGTACCTAGTCTAGCAGTCATTAGCAGTACTGATGATGGCACCTATCATCTTGTGAAATTATGACAGCTCACAGGAAATTACCAAAACTATCTACAAAAAATAAAGATCTATTAGACAAGAAAGCAAGATACAACAGCATCTGAAAGGAGATTCCCCTAATTGCTATATCATTAAATCATAAAGTGCCAGGCCACATTAATACATGCTTACCACTGCAGGTTTTCTTCTGCATTCACCTAGGCAAGAGAAGACTCATGAATTTATTATTATTGGGGTACATGCATCCTCTGCTACATGCACCATTCTGAGAAGCATGCTATCCTGTCCAGTCCTGTGGGGAGGATACATCAACAGCAATTCATTTATTGATTATTTTTTTTCTTTACTACACTGTTTATAATGGAAAGGTGATCAAGAGACTAGTTTATCTACCGCACCAAACATTTTTTCTTTTTTTTTTTAATGCACTAAACCAACATGTGAATTGGCTTTCTTTTTGGTCTCCAGCAACTTATGGAATTATAGAATCATAGAATAGTTAGGGTTGGAAAGGACCTTAAGATCATCTAGTTCCAACACACACACACCCCCCCCCCTCCCCCCCACTGGGCAGGGACACCTCACACTAGACTATGTTGCCCAAGGCTCTGTCCAGCCTGACCTTGAACACTGCCAGGGATGGAGCATTCACAACTTCCTTGGGCAACCCATTCCAGTGCCTCACCACCCTCACAGTAAAGAATTTCTTCCTTATATCCAATCTAAACTTCCCCTGTTTAAGTTTAAACCCATTACACCTTGTCCTATCGCTACAGTCCCTAATGAAGAGTCCCTCCGCAGCACCCTTGTAGGCCCCCTTGAGATACTGGAAAGCTGCTATGCGGTCTCCACACAGTCTTCTCTTCTTCAGGCTGAACAGAATCTCTTTTTGCTGTTTCTTATATGAAAAGAAAAAAAAAAAAATCACTCCCATTGTAAGAAGAGAAATACTAAGCAGAATGTACCAGCCTTTGTATAAACTGCTGTGGCACATTGTTCAGTTGTCAAGTGTACACCCTGCAGAATAAGTAACACACACTCTAAAGGACATTTTAATTTTTTACTGGCTGCCAACCATCATCATTAGGCTTCCAGACATGTTAAAGTTAGCTTTCAAAATCCACTGACCTCACAAGCAAAGTCATAACACTGGGGAAGCAGATGAGAAGAACAATATTTTGCACACTCCTGTAATCATTCAAGGTTGAGTAACACCAAATTAACACTTTCCAGTGCATGTGGCCTTGAGGTTATTGACAACTCTCACACAAAATATTCAAAAGTCTGCAGCAATGAAAGGGTGGATTTGGACCAAGTCTTTATCAAGAGAGAGCCCTCAACCCTCTGCAGGACTCCCACTGCTGCACAAGATGGATCCCCAGATGAGGTAATTTTCTGCATGTTCAGGAGTCCTCAATGACTAGGAATTTTTCCATAGCATACTTTCAATGCTGTGGAACTGCAGCCTTCTTGCTATATCTAAGGGAGTCTCACCATCCTGAAAGAAACAAATGACACATATTGCAATACGATAGATATGGGTCAAGTACAAAGAGCTTTCCTGAATTTGCCACCCAGATGCAGTGCTCTGCTGCACAAGTTTCACTGTCACACCCTTGCTCTAAAACAGAGGTTTCAGAACATCTTGGCTCTAATGCTGCTTTCACTGAAGCCAGGGGCAGAATCCTGTCCTCCCCTCCAGCAGCAACAGCCATTCCACTGTTTCCTGGGGCTAATGTCCAGAGTCAGTGCAGAGCCAAGCTAATGGCTGATTTCAAGAGAAACATGGGCAGTACGTTTCTCACTTCAACTCAATAATGCAGATACTTCCAGGCCAGTATTGCTCTGGATAACATTTGAGCTTTTCTAATGACAGAAGCAGCTTGACTTTGCCCCTCTCAGACGAATGGTGTCCAAAGGCACAAAAAGCACCCCAGAAGGCTCTTGCCACTCCCCTGCAGCCTGCATCTTAAGAACAATTGCAGAGCACTTCTGAGTTAAGAAGAAGATCCAGTAGACAACCAGGCAATGTTTATTGGTGGAAATCCAGCAGTGAAGGATTTGGACTTTACAATTGCTCTTGCCAACAAGGCAATGGAGCAAACTTTGCTTTAAACCCCACAGCAAACAAGTCTGCTGACAGGAAGCTATGCATTCTTTTTTTAAACTGCTGTACATCAGCAAAGGCCTACAATGTACTGGTTCACCATCACGATAAGAAAATACAGTTATCAAATTCACCTTCTTACCTGATTCTTTAAAGAAGTGTCTGCATGAGCTTGAAGCAGTAGAGGAATAACTGCCTGGTTGTTCATTTTACAAGCATAGTGAAGTGCTGTGCTGCCTGACTGAAGGGAAACAGAAGCAGATGAACTTTAGTTCTATTACTTTGTTAGTAAATCATAGGTAAGTAAAACTACCTAAGTACTACTACAAAGCTTTAGCAGCTTCCCCCCAATACCTGGATGCAAAAGACATACCATTTCCTGGCATGACACTACACAACAAAAAAAATACATTTGCGTAAGAGCAACAGGAACAAAAAAAATCATTTCTTCCCTGGGATGCAGCTGCTAGAAAACATCTGTTATCTTCAGCAGGAGGCCAACAGCTCTTTACTAACTTCAGAGGATTCCATGATCTTGATCTCAACGACTATGTCTTAAGCAATACTGTTTGTTCACAGTTCACTTTTAGAACTTGGTTGCTGCTAGAATTGGGTGTTATCCTTTTCTACCTTAGAGTAGGGGGGCTGACTTCCACACCCAAGTAGGACACTGGATACTGAACTCCACAAATGGCAGATCAATGCACTCTGAAGACCAAGAAAAGACGCAGGGTTTAGCACTGTGACATGGCCTTTGCCCTCAAATCTGCTCCAGTCCAAGAACTCATAAATAATGATAAACTCAGACCCTTATATTACTAGAACCCTTATATGATCAGGTATTTAATATGTAAGTGTCTCAGCCTGTCTTGCCTGGATTCTTTTAAGAGGGCATTGATCAGAAACGGAGAATTAGTTGGTCAGTGGAGAATTATTTCTGTGTACGTCTCAAAACCATTGCCTAAGTGTCAAGGAGAAATTCTGAATCCTCCTAGTGCATGACAGTCAGTTCAGTCCTAGATCTTACTCTGAAAGCAGGATTCTGTTGCTGGAAGATTTATAAGTCTGTTAGTATTGTTGCATGCATAAGAAACACATCTGCATTTGTATAAACCCACTTACAAAGTCTGTAGCGTTAACGTCGGCTCCAGCTCTAAGCAACATCTTGATCAGGTTTTCATTCTGTTTAGTCTTCGAGACCTGTTTGGCGCAAGGGAAGGAGTAACACTGTAAGACAGTCCATCTGCATATAGTACAAAGGAGATTATGGCTAAATGCTGTATTATTTCCTAAAAGAAATTTGCTTCTGCAAATGCCAAACTGATGCAGTAATACAGTTCTGTCGCTTCACCAATTATAGTCATGACAAAATCCCTGCTTCTTCTGTTGCTTTCCATCAGCCTTTGCTTTAAAAAAGCAGTCCATACCCTATACAGGTTCCTGGCCTGAAATATTGCCATGAGAAAGGTGATAAGAGGAAAGGAAAAAGTACAGGGTTTTTCCTCATTTCACCCAGACTCACCATAAGAAGGTATCCAATAAGCATCACTGGCATGAGGATAATGATGAGCACATAGTCAAGGAAGGTAAACCTTTTTCTCACAGCATAATGCAGACAAGTGCGGTCCTTCTAAACACAAAATAACTCTGATTAGTACCAGATTCAGTGATCTGATTATATTTATTTAATATTGGCAATAGTAGACCATTTTATATTTCATAGACTTTCTTTTAGGTTATCTACTGGAAATATTTTCTGATTTTCAAGCAGAAACAGACACATGTATTTTACTTCCTTAAGCAGAAGCACATTTAACATATACAGGCTCATGTAAATTGGGCTACACATGCAAGAAGGATGTGGGATCCAAAGGATTCCATATATATGTCTACAAACTTGCACATGGCTGCAGAGAAAGAGGGCACAGTAGACATGTGGCTGCTACTGCCACCCAGCAAGTTAAACCAGTAGGAAAAATCCCCACAGTGACTCTTCCTATAGAGGTGCTTGTTACAGAAACAAAGACATATGAGAGTTTATGGCATCTCCTTTGGCACACATGAGAAACACAGGCAAGTAGCAATACCAGCCTGTATTCTCTAGTGAGAGCAGAGTGAAAAAAAAAACTGTGAATACCAAGTGTACCAAGGCAACTAAAGGGCAGAGCTGTAAATCTGGGTGTTAAAGACCACTTGTGTTAAATCTCCTGTAGGTTGTTATGCTGGAGTTAGACAAACCAGGTTACAGTGCTACACTGTGGCCAAAATAAACAGAAAAGCTTTTCTGTGCTATCCTCTGCTCCCATTCTCGTTTCTGAGAACCATAGCTGAGCTCTGCATCAAAGGGAATGATTCCATCTGCAAAGGTGAAGCAAAGACACATTTAAGATAGGCAAGCACAGCTAGCAAATGGCTGCCAATGCTATTAAAATGACCTTACTGCAAAATCCTGAGCCCTTTCAAAGGGACTTTGAGGTAAGATAGAGAGCCTTTTGCATCAAGAAGAAGAGATGGGATAGAATATGCCACTGACCTCATGATAATTTCCTGCCTTCCTGTGAAATAAACATGCACTGGAAACCAGAGACAGAAGATCATCCACAAATGTATAGGAACTTGCTAAGCATTGCCTTGGAGTATGAGATAATACAATAGAATTGACGAAGTTTTGGGTTGCTTTCCCTGGTTATTTATCGCTTCTAACATCGTAAGAATAAGTTACTAATGAAACCAGAGCACACACCTTTCAGCTACTTTTTATTTGTAACCTACCACAAAACCACACTTCCTCATCACCTTAAGGAAAATAGCGAGTCACAGCTCCTGTGCATGACAAGTGTGTGTAGAATAGGGAACACAGGAAGAACAGTAAAAGGCTTCCCTCCTTGCCCCCCAGCATGCTATTACGAGTCATGCTATTGTTCTGTAGCATGACAAAAGCAGGTCTGCAGTGGCAATAAGGCAGGTTTGTGTGGAGTCAGTTTCTCCACAGGCACACATCTGTGAGAGATGGACAGGCTGTCCTTCAGACCTTCCTTTTAACCAGGGTGGAGAAAAAGAGAGAGGCAAAGAAAGGCTACAGAAGGGGCGGCCACTTACCTTGTTTCTGAGGTTGACATCAGCATTTCTTTTTAGAAGATAGCTAACTATCCTGTTGTTTCCCTGTTTACATGCACAAATTAATGGGGTGTCTCCACTGAAGCTGTCCCGGATATTCAGACAGTTGCTGTCACGCTCCAGAAGGGACTGAACTTCGCTGAAATCGTTATTATAAGCTGCCTGACAAATGGGCTGAAGAAAGACGATAATATTAATCAGCACACATTTCACTAAAGCATACCTACCTCTCGTTCTGACTTGACTTGAAAATCCTAAAATACTCAAGCGCTGCCAAGCACTTTTGATATAGGTGGTTCTAGGCGACTTCCAGAAGATGGCGGTAAGAGATACTTCTGCAGCTGCCACACAGCAGCTCGCAGCCTGGGGAAGTCGCAGCCTTTGCACAATGGAATGAACTTTCTGTTCATTTTGGATCATAATAATATACATATTCCATATATATACGGAGATATATAATCCAAGAAATAAATCCGGTTCATTTGCAACCATAAAAAAACGCCGTCTTCCAATCTTACAGAGTTATTCACTGTATTAAGAAACAAGCACGAACAAGCCCTTGCGTCTCAAAGTTTACAACAGGCTTTCTTTTTGGATGAACACTGCTGAATGAGGTATCACTTTTCACTCATCAGTTCCCAGAACAAAACCACACTTTCAACAAAGAGCTGAAAATCAAACCCCCACAATGTTTCTTTTCAGGGCTTGAAGTTAAACCTCAGACCTAAAAAATACACACATGTATGCCCACAGCTCAGTGTGGCTTTTGAGAACTATTTGCTGCTTAACTATTTATTCACTATTTCTACGCACCCTTCACCTATTCTGCAATTCCTTCCCTCTCCAGCAGCAAGAACTCAATCTGAGGAGTGGCTGAGAATGACAAGAGTACTATGAGCTTCTAATGGCCTGTAAGAATGTACAGCAGACTGGTAGCATTTGAAGTTCTCCAGTGGAAAAGAGAATGAGTTTCTTCTTTTTTGTCTTTGATACTGAGGTTTTTATTCACCAATTTCCAAGATACACATTTTCTTTGAATATTATCTACAGGTTTTCCTTTCTATCCTCCTTTTATTACATCCTAAGTACACTACGTAAACAAGATCTAACCCTGAACTCTAAGCTCTTTCCGCACTCTGCCTGCAGTTAGGTTTCACACACACACATTAAAAAGATTCATCTTATTTACACTTTCACTTCAGACAAACTTTGATCTACCACACAACTTTACCTCCAGCATCATTGCTGCTTAATCTTCTGGACAGCTGCATAAGAGAAGTGATTTTCCTTTCTAAAGAGATTATTTACAAGTTTACCAGACCTCACATCACTTCTTGTTTTGTTTTTATTTTATCAGACAAAACTCTACAAAGAATACATGCAACATTGCACATCTGTCTGTATTCTTATAAAAGCCTACTATACCATTTGCTATTTTACATTCCTCCAGAACCAGAATCAGTTTAATGATTTTGAGGAGAAACTCCTTTTTTTAAACCCCTCTTGTTGTGACCTGCATACAGGTGCCATCTAAATGATCAGTATGCTCTAGAACCTCACTTTCTGTCATGTTGATGTGTAATAGTGCAACTTCTCCAGGAAAGACAAGATCAGGTGCAGTCTGCACCTCTGGTTTTCCTGCCTTTAAGTATTGCTTTGCTTATTTAAAGATTAATCAGATTTGCTGTTTGGTTGAGCATCTGCTCAAATCAGCCATTTTCCACACAAATTTTCTCCTTTTCTACTCTGAGTCTTGCTAGTTCAGTAGCTTGTGTCTCCAAATGGTGTGCTTTTGTGATTTTCTTTCTATTCTGCCTCAAAGAGTTTAACTTGCTAGGCCCTTAAACCCAAAACATTTCTGACCTATACTGTCATTGACTCATGCGATCTTTTTAAGCTTACGCTACTGTTGAACCCAGTTCTAGAGCCATTAATAATGGTGCAGCACTTACCATTCCCTAAAAGACTATGTTATTTGAGGCTGAAGTCATGCACAGAGACCAGCACACAAGAGTCATTCATGCTTTTTTAGCCACTGAAACCAGAAAACGTCCAGGGTACAAAGAAAGTAAGGAAGCGGTTCTCATCCATTCCAACAGCTAATTCAGGAATAATTGATGTACTGGAAGCATTTTTTTAATTATTATTATTTCACTGCAGTTGGGGGTCTATGTAGGATTGATTCTTTCACATATTAATATGTCTCATTCATACAAAAAAAAAACCAAAACAAACAAAACAACAAGCAAACAAAAACTCCACAACTTTTTCCTGGGTTTATAGGATTTTCTTGAGACCCACTCTGCTGGTTTTCATTCTAGAAAATGCCTTTTTTAGTCAAAGAAATATGAAAAGTCCTATAAATCAGACTTGTAATATACCGCCCAAACTGACAAATACAACTCCATGACTGAAGGAGCTAACATAGTAGCAGGATATTTAAGTAAGTACAAAAAACAGTCAAAGTAAATATAAGCTCATTATTTTAATACCAATAGCAATAGGACTTCAGGAAAAAGGCTTCAGGAAAGAATAAGGATAAGAAAAAATACAAATACATGGCAATCTGTCACCTGTGTAAGAAAGGCATCAGAAGCTGCAACCAGTGGCAAATGTTGTATTAGGCAGTCTTTCCCAGAGAAAGAAAAGAAAGCTGTTATAGAAGGCACTTAACTGGAATAATAGATAGAGGCTTCAAGAAAGGTGAGAAGTAGTCATAGAACAGGCAAGGGTTTTTATGGCTGAGTTCACTCAGTACAAGATCACCAGATAAGGGGTGCAAGAAAAGTAAAAAGAACTTTTGCTGTCAGGAAGGACAATACCTCTACACAACTGAATTCTTAATTATTTCTATTTTTTATCAATTGAGGGCAATGGGATTGCAAACAGGACCTTGTAGTTTACCCAGAACCATGTGAACACATCTGCATTTGTCTACTTGTTTCCAGAGCTTCTTGCAACTCCCTCTGCTTAGCTTTACTATTCAAGCTATTCAGCAAGTTCTACCACACGTGAAATAAAGATTAAAGGCTTGGCACTAAGGACAAAGCATTCAGCCAACAGAGAGGAGGGTAAGGTAAAGCCAGTCTTGCAACTGGGAGAACAATTTCAGATTATAATTGCTTACTCCTTTGAGAACTTCAGGGGATTGCCTAAATTGCATCAACACTTTGCAGCTGTTTAGACAAAAAGGAGTTATTTCAGAACATCCAGATATTCTGAACTAATCCATAGTCTCTTTCTGTGCGCTAAAATGCATCCAAAGGCCAAGAACTGAACATGAAAGTCTGAATCATGATTATGATATTGTGTGCACTAGTATCCAATCCCTGCTCCTCAGAAAAGGCATCGTACACCTTCTCGTATGTGTTGCTCTAGATTTCTATACTGTATAAATGAATCATACTTTATCCAGAAAACTCTATCTCATTCAAAATTTTTTAAAATGAAATATTAACTAATAATCATGGAAGATATGGACAGCATTTGAACATTCTCCAAACACCACTTTAATTAAGCTAATTGACACTGTTTTCTTGTAAAATACTAACTCAGAGTAGTAGACATGCAGAGGCAACAAATCCTTTCAGAACAAGGCACAGTCTACCCAGCCCATCACCTTCTGAATGCACAGATTCAGGCTCCCTGTAATACAGAAAAAGGAGAAGACACTTGATTTCATCAAGTAGCCTTTTAAAAATGAAAGGGTGGCTTTCAGCACAGAAATGTAACCTTTTAAAGGAACAGCTATGTAATGCTATCTCCGGGAAAAGAAACAACAGTGCAATCCACTGTATTCACAGTTGAATGGAAGCAAAATTCTCACTTGCTCACAAGTGTGCAAACGGAAACTTTATGAAATAATGAATAGATTTAGGTGTCATTTGTGCTAAAATCCAGGGGTAAACTAAATGGACCGTGGTCTGGGGACAAACCCATAAAGATAAGAGCTAAAAATGAAATCAGGTGGGAGGGAGTGTTTCCTTGGGCAGTAGCTATTACCTATATTTAACACAAGCAAGTTGTTCGCAGTTTGTGAAGTATGCACCATGCTCAGAATCATTCTGATCTCAACACCGAACAACAAAAAGTGTTAAACACGTACTTTCTCCATGAAATCACAATAGTTATGCTGATTATTGCATTTTATTTACTCCTACAAACTGTACTTTTGACAATTTGTAGTAGCTGAAGTACAGCATCTCCAAAGGGAAAGAACATCCAGTTCTGTTTAAGCCTTGTATGGGAGGTTGCAAAGGGAACAAATCAAACCCAGTGAATATCTATATCTTCCATAGCTTCAGTTACTGTGCAAAAAAGGGTCACCTACCTCTGAATAGAGTATCCCCATGCCTATTCTTCACTGCTTGAGTTCGTTCTTGTTCACCAGCCCAACAAGTTAACCTCACTTGAAATATTCTTGAGTTTGTTTGAATCTGGTTAATATTTAACTTAAAAGTATCACTCTTTCTTTAGATACATTTCCTTCAAATGTTTTCCACTTGATAGCATGAAACAATTGTCTTCAGAAACCCAACCCAAGGAGGTAAACCTGAGAACAGCAGCTTACAGGAGACTGACAGAACAAGTTACAACACACAAGCATTTTCCTTTGTCATTTTTGCAATAACACCCTCCAGTTGCCTAAAAAGGAAAGTAGCAAAACAGGCTGAGGAGGGTAGGAGGGAGAGAGGAAGAAGGTTTCACAAGCAAAGAAAGGGAGGAGAAAAGGGTAAAAAAAAAAACAACCATGAACCAAATATTTAAAACAAGTAACTATGAATGGTAGCTGGTTTGTCACCCAAGCTACTTCTGAACGAAATGTATTCCAATCCCTCTGCAAGAACAGCTCGAGATGCCTACTGGGAAAAGGGAAGCAACTAGATCCCACACCCTTCATAAGAGCTCCCGGTATAACTAGCTTCAGTCTCTCATTAAATCAGCAGCTGCTTTCATCATCTTTTGCTTAGGTTTCTCTTCCTAGCCCAGCCCCCCCAAAAAAGAATATGATTCATGTTTAACCTGCTAATTATGTATGTAAATTGCATTAGGTCTTCTTTGGGAAGAGAATTATTGTGGATGTCTCCACCCCCTTTGCGTGTTCATGGCTCTGAGGATAAGATGCTGACAGTATTTCTGTAGTACACTCTTTCCAAGTAGGGCATGCACATTTCATGTGTCTGCGGACAACCCAAAGTATCTTCTTCCTTTATAGTTAAAATTCATGTTTCAAGTATATTTTAAAACATGTTTTAAAACAATACATGTAACTGTCAGTCTTAAATCCAAGCCCCCTGTCTTATGTTTGAGAGTTTTTATTTCCGTATCATTCTCATATTTATTCTTCAGTGAGGTGGAGGGTCATATAAAATCACTTACAGTCTCTCTATCCTTCCCTGGTTGAAGTAGCACAGCACTACTGATGGTAGTGTTAGTTTGCTAGCACCAGTTCTAACCCTTTTAGTGGTTGTTTACCTGAAGAAAATTAGATTGGTTCGTAACAAAAACATACACAACACCCATCTGTAACAATCTGTTGGGAGGATCTCAATAGACTGATCTTTCAGCATGTGGTGGATATTTCTGTTGGCCTAAAGACATGGAGGAGTGATTAACAACTCAAAGGTGAAAAAGCATTCTTTGACAGTGTTTCTTCACACCCAGTTCCTAAGAAATGGACATCCTCCTGCATTAACTAGCCAGCTTGTTATAAACACGATTTTATAAACTATAACTTGTTGAAAGAAACATCAAATTGCTCAGCTGTAACATAAAACATCTTAGTAGTTTACTGAATCTTCCTTAAACAAACACCAATCTACAAATGTATGGTAACACGGAAAGTATTCAAAAAAAGACACACCAACAAACATTAAAAAAAAAAAAAACAAAACCAAAAAAACCCACACAACCAAAACACACCCTCCTCCGTAAAGCACTGCGGTAGCTTCAGGCAACACCTTTCCCAAGATAGTGTAAATTACCATTTAATCCAACATCACATCTTAGGCCCTCTTGAGAATCAGTTAAGTGATTAGTTTGATCAGAACTTCAGCTGGAGAGCAGATAAGCAGCCCAACCATGATGAGGTATTAGACTTATGCAAATTTATCTAGTTAGGTCTAATTCTGCTTCACATACTGCTTTTAGTTTCATTACTATGCTTATGAGGATTTGAATCCTGAAAATTGTATCTTTCTTTGCTGAATCAGTCTTTTTTTCTCAAGAAGGTGCCAAGACTCAATGCTTGAGCAAGCTGTCATCTACTCAGTCTGTGCAGGAAATCTGCTTCTTACTTCCTGAAACGATTTGACTACACTTCAAAAGTTTCATGTGAGCCAGAAGTGAACTAAGAGTTTGTCAGAAGGGCCTTCACCAGAGAAAGAATAAGGTGCTCATCTGGTGACTACTGGATTACTTCTGTTACAGCCCATCCTGTGGCTCAACTCCAGCAGTTCAGCCAGCAGGCTGATCCTAGCCTACATGAGATCCTGATCCCCATAATCAGTTCATGGACACAATGTAGAGCACAGCAGTCTTGTAAAAGCCAATGGGGCTGTACAAACCTGCTGACACATGTATGCATTTTCACTATCAATAGTATCTCATATGCTGATTCTTAATTTAAAATTGGCCAAGTAGCATAGTAACTGGGCAATACCTCAGCAGACTGAAGCATTTGATAAACAGCTAGCTTCTTTCTCGTACATGCCTGCTCAACAACAGGTAATCATGTGGAAAATGCACCTGGGTCAGGGCAATCACAAGCACAACTACAGGCTGGGTGGAGACCGAATTGAGAGCAGCCCTGAGGACAACTTGGAGGAGTTGATTGATGAGAAGCTCGACATGAGCGGGCAGTGTGTGCTCACAGCCCAGAAAGGGAGCCGTATACTGGGCTGCATCAACAGGAGCAAGGCCAGCAGGTCAAGGGAGGTGAGTTTACCTCTCTACTCTGCTTTCATGAGACCCCCCCGAAGTACTGCATTCAACTCTGGGGGTCCCAACACAAGAGGGACGTGGAGCTGTTGGAGTGACTCCAGAGGAGGCCACAGAGATGCTGAGGACTGGAGCACCTCTCCTATGGAGACAGGCTGAGAGAGCTGGGCTTGTTCTGCCTGGGGAAGGCTCACAGTAGACCTCATAACAGTCTTCCAATACCTAAAGGGGACCTACAGGAAAGCTGGTGAGGGACTTCTTACAAAGGCAAGTAATGATAGGATGAGAAGGAACAGTTTAAAGTGAAAGAGGGTAGATTTAGATTAGACATTGGCAAGAAATTCTTCACTATGAGGGTGATGAGGCACTGGAAGAGGTTGCTGAGAGAAGCTGTGGCTATCCCATCCCTGGAAGTGTTCAAGGCTGGGTTGGATACAGCTTTGAACTACCTGGGCTAGTAGAAGGTGTCCCTGCCTGTGGCAGGGATTCTTTAACCGTAGAATCATAGAATAGTTATGGTTGGAAAAGACCTTTGGATCATCTAGTGCCAAACCCCCTGCCGTAGGCATGGTCACCGTGTACTAGATCATTTAAGGTCCCTTCTAACCCAAACCATTCTGTGATTCAATGATTGATTCTATGAAAGGCAGGGAGAAAATTGATGAGAACTATAAAAGTACTTGAGAAGAAGAATAGGGTTCAAAGACAAAAGTAAAAGCATATACAGACTATTTTCTTAGATGAATGTTACTTTTGTATTTTACAGTCTTTGCAAAAGAGAAAGGAACACGTATTCCCCTTTGTCCTCCCCCTCCAAGCCTGCAGATCATCAGGGATGTCTTTAGATGCACAGGCTACCTCGAGGGTACTTAAAAAAAGAGTTGGCAGATACTGGGGGTTAAGACATAGTTGGATACTTCATACTATGTGAAACTTTTGCTCCAGCATTTTCAAAACAAAATATTACCATCTCAGCTAGCATGGCTCTCTAAGTAAGGACAGCACATGCTGAGAAGTTTCTGTATACCTGTCGGGGTTCAGCAGTAGCACTCATTTTTCTCCTTCTTAGTATCTGGTGCAGTGCTGTGTTTTTGACTCTCAGCCTGGGAACAATGCTGATAACACCAATGTTTTAGTTACTGCTCAGTACTATTTACTCTGACCAAGGACTTTCTGTGTCTCATGCTCTGCCAGGGAGGAGGGGAAATTGGGAGGAAGCAGAGACAGGACACCTGACCCAAACTAACCAAAGAGGTATTCCATACCACAGCACATCATGCCCAGTATATAAACTGGGTGCAGTTACCCAGAAGGGCTAGATCACTGCTTGGGTCTGGTAGGGTACCAGTAGGTGGGTGGGGAGCGGTTGTATTCTCTTCCCTTGTTATTTCCCTTATCATTATTATTATTGGTGGTAGCAGCAGTGATTTGTGTTATACCTTAGTTACTGGACTGTTCTTGTCTCAACCCATGGGAGTTACATTCTGTGGATCCTCCTCCCCATCCCTCCGGGAGTGGGGAGAGGAGGAAGGTGGGCGAGTGAGCAAGTAGCTGCGTGGTTTTGAATTACAGGCTAGGTTTAAACCAGGACAGTTCTTTGCTGCACTCAACATGGGGCCTGGAGGGTTGAGATAACTACAGATCTGACCAGGGTGTGTCTAATTGTATTTGTGATAAGCATTCATTGTTTCCGATTTGCTCTTGGTCTTGGAGTTTCAGCATGTTGTACCTTATTTACAGCTGGTATTTGCTGTTTTAATCTTTACTGGCTGGGGGGCCTTGGCCTAAGTTTCTTGGTTTGCTGTACTTTATGATAATGACTTGTAATACAATAGACTCATTGATCATGAAACTGATCTGGCTTGTGTTCCCAGTGTGGTCACCACCTCTATACTTTGGGGGGTATATAATGGAAATGTTTAGCAATTACACATCTTTTTTTTCCCTCCTTGGGTGGTCAACCTATGAAGGAGACATTCTCTTACATTCCCAGCTCCCCCACCAGACTATTTACAGCATCATTTGAGAGTTCTGAAGGTTTTGAATGGCCTTTGGGCACCCCTGAGACCTGTTTGCTGATTGTGATGGGGATCACCATGTCTGCATGCATACAGAGTGTGTTTTACTCATGACCATTTCATCTGATCTCAAAAGTAAAGCAGAGTCAGGTTTGGGTCTTGTCTGGGGTTAAATGACGATATAGGAGGACCAAGAGATTTTCCCTGATGCTGGACAGCCATGAGTGGCAGGGTCTGTGGGATAGTATGGGCAAGTATCTAGGCCAGTGAGCCCCTCCAGTGCTTTGGAACCTCACCACTGAACAAGTGCAAAATCCAGAAAAATTGGTAAAACACTTAAATGAGGTAAGTGGTCATTCTGGCCATACCAGAGACGGACAAATCATGGCAACGTGCTGCGGCTTGGCCTATGCTTACAGAGCCCTGTTCAATACTATCCAGCACCTTCAAAGGGAAAAAACTGTCTCTGGATGTGATGGCAAAGCAACAGACAATGCAGCTACTCCAACTCAAAATACAGCAGCTACACCAACCCCAGTGACACGTACAGCAGCTACTCAAACTCTGACAGCAACAGACAGCACAGCTGCTGGTGCTACTCATACCCCAAGTACAGAGGCTGCACCAGCCCCGACAACAGATACTGCAGTCATCCCAACCACAGTGATAGTCGTTGCAGCTAAACCAAAGGACCAATTCATGCCAATATCAGTTGCCCCTGTACACAAGGGGAAAGGCAAAAAAAGAGACACAAAAAGCAACCCATACAATGAAGAAAGATAAAGAACCAATGCACTTACTACATGGGACAGCATCTGATCAAGAGTTATTATTATGTGAATCAGAGGAAGAAGAGGTGAATTCTTGACCCAGACTTTAACTGAACTATAGAATATGCAAAAAGATTTTACCCATCAACCGGGTGAGCACATCATCACCTGGTTGCTCCGATGCTGGGACAATGGGGCCGACGGTCACAAACACAAACTAGAAGGTGAGGAAGCCAAGCAGCTGGGATCACTTGCTAGGGAAGGGGGAATTGACAAAGCAATTGCAAAGGCAAAACAGTCCCTCAGCCTTTGGAGGCAGCTCTTGACGGCTGTGAAAGAAAGGTTTCCATACAAGTATGATGTTATGAGTCATTCAGCCAACTGGACCACGACAGAGAAAGGCATCCAGTCTCTGAGGGAATCAGCCATTGTAGAGATGATCTATCACAGGCCAGATGCTGGGAATGCATCTGTAGATCCAGATGAAGTCGAATGTACACGACTCACGTGATGGAAATTTACACAGAGCTCACCAGCATCATATGCCCACTCATTGGCAGCAATAACCTGGAATGACATAGTGCCTCCAACAGTGGATGAAACTATTCATCAACTCTGAGAGTCTGAAGACAATCTCACCCCTTTCATCATTTCAGCTGTGGAAAAACTATCCCAGGTGTTCAAACAATTGAGAGACGATCTATCAGATTTATCCAGCTGCCCACGTGTACCAACCCATGTCTCAGCCTTTAACAAAAGGCGTCCTACTACTAGAGAGAGAAGATATAGGAGGGAGAGAGCGCAGACACAGTCCCCCACTACCGCAGATTATGTGGTTATGTTTTTCCTGCATTTGGGGAAATCGCAGGGGTCAACACACCCGGAGTGCAAAGGATGAGCCTTGCCCTGGGAAAACCACCTGCCTGATCATTTTAGGTTTTCTGTTTCCTATGCTCTTTTTACAGGCAGTACTTTCATAGTCTCTTTTCCCTGTTCAGGTAGGTTAACCTATTTTTCATTCTTTGCTAGATTTGTACTAACAGTATCACAAATGGTATCACACATCTCTGGTGAAAGTAGGTATAATGTTGCAGATCATTCCAGGCTGACAATTCTACAAAACAAAAAAAAAAATGTAGCATGTCATTAGCTGAGAATAAAGCAGAGAAAAATCTTTTGTATCTCTCACTAGGCAGGGGTATGAAATGTGCAAGCCGTAATGTTTTTCATTGAGAAATCACTTTTTTGGCTTTTCCATGGACTGCACTCTCTAAAGCAGAAGTGTTTATGTGGTGACTCTCTGGTTTTGTTTACTAACACAGACTTACTTCACTGTTTACCCATACAAAACAGCAGATGATTAGCACCCACATTCCAGAGAATTTGCTGTACCAGGGCACCAGGCCAATTCCAGTGAGTACAGAGCCCCTGGGCTGACTACAATTAGTTCAGTGGTTAGGCAGAGGTCTTCAAACACACTGTGTTTTCAGAGAGTTCATGGAAATGGCTTAGAAGAAGCAAGAAATCTTGTTACCATCCTCTCTGACTCAAAGTTTACACATTTTCAAATCTAATTCAATACCTGAGAGCCCTTACATAAGCAGGCTAATTCAGAGCGAACTGGTCTTTGCAAGTTGTGGTGTTCACGGAACAACAGATTTAGGAATGTATGTTTGAGGTTAAACACACACCTTTCAGATCACTTTTATTTTTATTCTAAGATTACCTAACAAAGAAGAATTGACCCTGAGCAATATGCAAACAGCAGTTCAGAAAACAAGTGGCAGATGTGGAATCAGTGACCACACCAGCTTCCGTGCAAGCCAGAGCTGCAGAGACCATGTTCATGGGTAGGAAGTGTTGCGAGAAACTTGATTTTAACTCCCTTCATCTCAAAATAATGTGGCCACAGCAGTCCCCAACACAGGCAGCAGTACAGAACAAGATCTGTCACAGCCTCAGGGGACAAGAATCCCCCAGGTCCTTGCTAAGTATCTTACCCACAGGTTAGACGCCTCTTTACCTCTCCTCCAAGATGCAATTTAGTCATTCAGAATGTCATGCAAAGGTGCTGTTTATCATAAAATAACTCCACTCCTTAAATACTGCCAAATCAGCACTTAAACATGCTCTCTCATACGTCCAGACATCACACAGCACTCTACTGCTGCTCCTTTTATTGGCAAAGGTTTCTGCCAGTCAATCACTCTGCTAGTGGAGACAGACTAGGAACTGCAACAGAAGACACAATCAAGGCAGTCAAAGTGGAGGTAAGTTGCTTGTACATATGCATTCATATATAGTTTTCTCTGCCACCTTTCTCCATAAAGATGTGCAGCCTTGCTTTTGTGCAGTTGCAAGTCAGAGTAGACAGCCTGCATCTTTTCTGATTTACAAGCCTGATGCTATGCATCAAAGTGCGTGTTTGATAAAGTTGAGAAGAAGACGTCTTTGCCCTGGGCAAACAGGAAAAAGGAGTATCTGATGGTTTAATTTTTTTCTAATGGTTGGGTTTTTTCCTAAGGATGGCACTGTGGATGCGTGATAATCTCAGTATTGAAAGCATGTGCATAAATAGGACATTTTGCTCTCATAGTTCCAATTGCATGTAAGCTTTCCTTGTAATTTAACCAGGAGATTCTGACGTTTGCTAGCCACATTAACTGCACTGGTGCTTTTCTGTTCCATTTACAGCGTATGTGAAAAAAAAAATAAAACTCTCTCAATAGTACACTGATGAATTTTTAGAAGATTAAAAGCCTATTTTCATTAAATACTAACAATCTCCAGAAACGGCATTTTGAGTGCGCCTTTCCAATCTCTCGCTTTATATTTTTATTCTTTTTTTTTTTTTAATAAAATTTTTCAGTTAATTCTAGTTTGTCATAGTAAATGCTGCTCTTGCTGTTTCATTACATAAAAAGACTAGATTGTTCTTCAAGGCTCCTACAGTCAAGAATTTGCCACTGAAATTAATGAGACATCATGTGCCAAGCCTTGGAGTTAATTGGCGCACTCTGATTTAAAAAGCATTCATCTGAAAGTGTGTCAAAACATGTCAGCTAAGTCAGGTGACAATATAGTATATAGAAAAAAATACGCCCTAAAAAGGCTGCAATTTAGCTACCCTATTGCCGTCCAAAAACAAACTGTGACTTAAGCTGAACGTTTTGGTTTTGTTCTCAAACATTGTTCCACATGTAGAAATAGAGGAACAGGTTTTACTTCTGTTTGAACTGAATAAAACAGCAGAAAGCAGTGGAATATCAAGTATAAAATTGTGCTTCCAGAGCACAATGCTATTCTATATGACAATAATTGAAGTCTTCTCCTACCAAGTGGGGGGACCTGAATATATCCAGTTTTGGTTTAATCCAAATGTTCCAGTGACTCAAGGGTTATGACAGATTTAATCAAAAATGTAAAGAACTGAGAACTCTCTCCTTCATGAAGAAGTTCAAAGAAAACAAAACCTTAGGCTATCCATTTCAGGCTCTCAAAATCTTAAAAATCTTCCCCATGATATGGTCTTATAAGACACTCTGGTTTTATGACCTGTTTCCTCTATGCTGATTACAGAGGTGGATACAGCCAAAAAGCAGATCATTAAGTAAAATGCATTTTGAGATTTCTATTCAGAAGAGCTACCGTGTGACCATTAGTCAATCCATAAAAAAACATGAAAATGCAATCTTTTCTTCAGGTGGCCAATACACAGATTTACAATAGGGAAGACTATACGTGAGAGAGAAAGGAAGGAACTTATGACACAAATTAGCACCAGTATTATACAAGCATATTGCCCCAGGTTGGTTCCACATCCTCTCGGAGCCTTTGATGCGATCCTGGTCCTTGTTGAATGGGGTGAGCTGCAGGCAGTCCCTCCTCACTTATTCTGGCAGGTGCTCGGGGAACAGACCATGGGCAACCTTCAGAAGCCTCCCCACTTGGTTTTTCCTGTGGAATTCCATGCCATTCCTAATGCAGACAACCCTACATGTGCTCTTTCACTCAGCCCCAAGATGTGGTGCCTCCTCATGCTGCTCTGCTCTCAAGCAATTGCCTTTTCAGCAGGATTCACAACAACACCCTCCACTCTGAACTCAGACAAAAGCCAGTTCAGGAAGCCTCATGACCCTGAATCCTTTATGAATGTTGTAAGTTTGGTCACTTTTCTCCCTTTCTTTCTAAAGTGTCTCTCCCAATACCACTACCCCACCCACAGTACCAGTGAGGAGGTTAAAAGTAGCTCCAGCAACATGAGAGGGAGCACTAGCCTAAAAGCCAGTGCTAGCACCTTGATGTTTCCATCCAAACAGTCTGAGCTGCCAGAGAAAAGAATTCCTTTGCTGCGGAGGCAAAGGCTGGTTTCTAGTCTCAAAGTAAGCAAAGCCCCCCCTTTCTGTAACAACTTGCGTAGTGGCAATGTACGATGAATTCCTCCTTCAAGCAGCAGATTGGCATTACACAAAGTAATACAAGACCCATTGCTCTGAATCATCAAAGATTTCCTCAGGTTAGTGGCAGGAGTGTAATAGGTGGTGCTGTAAGTGAATTTGTAATAGGAGATCCACCCTATCTGGCTTGCCTAACCACACTTTGATAAGGAAGGATTGATTATGGACCAAAACCCACAGCTTTTGGCATTGTCTTATATCAACACTCCTATGTATTTAATTTATAGAATGGTATGATCTGTATCAGCCTTGCAAAACAGGACAAACTATCTCCCAAAAAGTTAGTCACTCAGTGCAGTCCTGTTTCATCCCATAATGTGCTGTCGAATACCAGACAACTACCACTTAAGCAGGACTGAAGAAGACTCTGGTGCATCTTTTTACAAGACCTGTAATAATCATTCTCAGCCATGGTCCCTGTGGCAGGGGCCTTGCACTGATGTCTCAGAACAGCCCACATCCACACTGCTCAGCTTGGTTACCCTCCAAAACAGGACAACCTGCATGTTCACAAACTCTCCTTTGGCTTCTCACAGAGTGAAATTATCAGATACCATGGATACCCCAGTGAGGAATATGAAGTTACTACAGAGGATGGGTACATCCTTAGTGTTTTCAGAATTCCTGCTGGGAGGAACAGCCGAAATACAGGTATGACACAGTCATAGGATGGAAGGAGGAAAAATAGGAGAAAGCCTGAGGGTCAACCCTTCTATGGGTCCCCCATCTTTCTCCTTTGCACATGCTGTGACATGTTCCACACCTTTCAGTCTCAGCAAGACCACCTAGTCAGGAATCTGGCCTGAATTTGGTGTACAGGTTAAAAAACTCCCGCAAAACCAGAATCTGCACCCCAGTTTTAACAGACATTACCTACTACAGCATAAGAAAACCCTCTTCTTTTTCAGGAAAAAAGCCTGCAATCTTGCTACACCATGGTACTTTAGGAGATTGTATTCACTGGATTTCTAACCTGCCTAACAGCAGCTTGGGCTTCATCCTCGCAGATGCTGGCTATGATGTCTGGTTGGGAAACAGCCGAGGAAACACCTGGTCTTTAAAACACAAGACACTTAAGCCCTGCCAGAAAGAGTTTTGGCAGTTCAGGTACTCCATGGAAAAAGAATCACTGAAGAAGGAAACTCTCAGGGGACCTCTCCCTTTCTGGTTATATGAAAAATATACCCTTCTTGATTATATGAAAACCATTATGGTTTCTGACTTCAAGTGGGATATGCATCATCTAAGGAGACTAGAGCAACAGATGCAGCCACTTCTGGTTAGGTCAGGGGGGACATAACAAGGTCTTGGCTGCATGATCTGGGCAGGCCCTTCTGGAATCACCATATACAGAAGCACATCTGCAAGCACACAGGTCACCTTTGTCCAAACACAGTGTTGGTTCCTTTGGGGAAAAGACTTTCAAAATTGGGACGCATTTGTAACTTTGAAGTCTCCCATACCATGTCCTGGGTGCAGACAGGAGAGGAGAGTCCTCAGCTCAGTGTACAAATCTGATCTAGCACAACTGATATCAGTTGAGAAATATTTTTTTGTAACCCATGCTGGTGAGAGCAATGATTACATTCACTTCTGCAAGACCCTCAGCTAAGAGACAAAACTAACACCTCCCTTACAGAGAGCGCAAGGCATCAGACAGCCTTGCAGTTCACTGTGTCCCTCTACCCCCTTCCCCAACTCAAGCAAGAGTGCAGACAAAGCATGAAACATCATCTTTAAATGAGTCCTGCTTGGTGCAATGAAGAAAAATTATATTCAGTAGCTCACATTGTAACAGCTAAATTATCTGATAGCTTGCTTTGTTTCTCCCCTGTAGCTTTGATGAGATAGGTAAATACGATGTTCGAGGAGAGCTGTACTTCATAATGAATAAAACCGGTCAGAAGGATGTATATTTTGTTGGTCACTCAGAGGCTGGAACTGCAGGTAATGTTAGGACTGCCTGGTCCAAAATGTTGGTAGTTAATGTTGGTATTTATGACATATATATATATGTATATATATGATCTACGAGCAGACATTGGGACTTATGCCATGGTGTGCTACTGCATTTTGCAAAAATAAACTCAGAAACAGGAGAAAATGTAAGTGGCTACATTCTTAGGGAATTCTTCTTTCTTCCCATATGTGTATTCTAAGGATCTTTTTCCAGAACAAATCATTTAGGCCAAAACATCCCCATCTTTGTCTTTAGATTCCTATGTTTTAGGCAACCAGTTAAAGTTCTCAGCGAATGCAGCAGTGGAGAAATATTCAGGAAACAGGATGTGATACATCCTTTTTGTTTTCTCTTCCTTTTTTCCTTCTCCATACTCCTTCTTTATGTGTGCATTCACTGTTACCTGGGTTTACTCTTAGTGACGAGTAAAAAACTCTGCTCTTAATCTTCAGATAATTGTTGTATTACTGTGTGTCAGTATAAATATATACAGTCTTTCAGAGACTGCAAGCTGAAAACCTCATTATTTTATTAGAGTTTGGGGAACTTCAGAAGGAATTTGCATTCAGAAAATCTGATTAAAGCAACTTCTCCCCCCAAGAATGGACTGAACACAATATTTTCAGTTCTGAGAAAACCAATACCTAGACATGCTCTAATGAACCTCTATCCTTAGAATGAACTCTGCCTCCCACATAAGTTTCAAGAATCAAACAGTTCCTTCAGGCCAGCAGCACAGAAATGGGCAACTGCCAATGGCCTGCTAATCTAGTCTCAATTTGCTGCCTACTGCTTTTTTATTTATTTATTTGATCTGTGGAGGTCTCTTTACTAACTTGACTTGTGTCTTCTGCTTTTGCAGGCTTTATAGCATTTGCCACTTATCCTGAATTGGCTCAAAGGGTTAAAGTGTTCTTCGCTTTGGGACCAGTAGTCACAACCACATACGGTACCAGCCCTCTGGTAACACTTACACGGTTTCCCCAGTTTCTGATCAAGGTATGACATTCCTCTTGCTAAAATACATAGTTGTCTGCTTTGTCTCTACTGAGCTCACTCAACCTAAACTGATTTTAAGGGGTGGCAAATTAAGAATTAATTCAGTCTATCAGACTGCTGACAGGGCTGGTAGACTTAAGACTTTGCACAGATCTAAGCTACAAGGCTTGACGCGATATCTCTTTTGCAACTACTTTCACCTAAGAGGCATACTTTCACCTTTTTTTGTTTAAATCAAATGTTTTTGAAGGAAACTCACAAATACCATAATCTAAATCTACTAAATCTATCCTTAAGCACTAGTAAAATCTACAAATGAAACACCTTATTTCTATTAGACACGCAGTTAATTTATGCTTATGAACATTTCCTTAAAGGGAAATACCTATTTCACACCTGAATCATAGAATCATAGAATAGTTGGGGTAATTTGCCAATTTAATAGAACATGGTGGGAATGGCGGAAATCCTGCATGCTATATAGTTTATGTCAAACTTCCAGAGCACATATTCTTTCTGCCCAAGTTGTACCCACTATGTGATATAGACCATCCAGCTCTACACCCTTCTCATTTGTCTGCTCCCTTTTTACTTAGCAACAACACTCACAGCACAGTTTGTGCACCTGCCTGGAAAAAATATTAGGGCAAAAAGGGATTTCCTAGACTTTGCAGTTATGAGTGCAACCAACTGCCCCTTCTCACTGAGGTCAGTGCACTAAAACAAGACAGATAGTGATCTGCAGAACTCATGTGTAATAATAAACAGCAGGAAGAACCTGTGGTGTGGTCTTGGGAAGAACACACTTATAGGATACTGGGATGGCAGTCAGTTTCAGCAATCTTAGTTAGGAGGTAAGGCTGTAGAGAAGAAGGAGTGACTTTTTTCTATGTGAAATAATCCTACAAGAAGAAGAAAAAGAAGGTTTGCATTTTTGCTTCCCTCAGTTATTCGCTGGCTGCAAAGGAGTTCTTCGCCAGAATGAACTGCTGAAACCACCTCTGGTATGGATGTGCGAATCTCTGGGAAAATTTTGTGGCAGTGTCTTAGGCTTCATAGCTGGGGACAAGGTACAAAATCTGAACACGGTAAGCATGTCCAAGAGCACCTTGATGCAAGTATAACTCATGTAATTTTAAAGGAAAACAATTTTTCTGCCTTATGGCTACATACAGTTCCAGAGGCATAGAGAAATGTGTTAGGGTTTTCAGGAAATGCCAACTAGGACCTCAGCTAGTGACAAGGTATACCACCTGGCACATTCAAATCACACAAGGAAGAAAGGCTGAATTCAGGATGGTTCCATCGTGCAATGATGTCCCTCAGTGTCCCATCTTATGGGGCTAAGCCAAAGAAAAACTTCACAGATACCAAAGCTTTTTAAAATGGAAAACTGGATGGAGAAAGATATCTTTTCTTTTGCACAGTTCATATTTTCCTTCCTAAATAGGAAGACATCCAGATCATCTGAACATAAAAGATTGTTTCCTTTTGGTTGTTACCCATCAAAACATTTTCAAACCTGTTTCTTCAAATTTTCTCCCAATGGCAAGATTTCATTCCTTTACGCTGGCCAATAGCTTTTTTCTTGCAGACATTCCACATGCCTGTTCTCCGATGGCCTTCCATCTCTCTTACTAAGACTGTTTAATAAGTGTTCCCATAAAAACCTCCCACGCATGTAGCCTCATTATGCTCAAGCAGACGATGTATTAACAATCTTTTACTGATTAAACACAGCACTAGGCATCATACAAACTGCAGAAACTGGAAAAAACAAAGGCCATACAGATTCCCCAAATCTTGTTTTCTGTATGACTGAGCACTAATGTGGAAAAGAAGCTCCCAAATGGATAAAATTCTATATGCTCATTCCTACTGTAATCTCACACGTTTCTCTCAATATTCTTTTTGATATTTAAAGAATATCATATTAAAATGGGGTTTAACACAGAAGCAGTATATTGCTCAGGTTCCTCACAGCTTTGTTCTGTCACAGCACTGGATTAATGCACTTATAACACTTCCGCTTTCTCTCCAGAGTCGAACAGATGTGTATGTAGGACATTACCCTGCTGGAACATCAGTACAGAACGCTCTTCATTGGCATCAGGTATAACTGCATACTGACACTCTTGCTACTGCTTTTTATGCAACCAACAGCCCACAAGGGAAGTCCAGAGAGGGTGGATTTGGGAAACTGCCCATTGCATCTTCTCACATGCTGCCACAAGCACCTGCCACAGGCAGCACTGTTTCCCATGGCACACCAGACCATCACCTGAATTGCCCCTTTGATAACAGGCCAGGGGATAAGCCAGACAAAGAAGGGATCCAGGTTAAGCTTTATTCCCAGAGAGTTAATTGCAGCCTGGCTCACCTCCCAGAGCCAGTTAACTACACAAACTCTTCTGCTGGCACAAGCAGCAAGTGGGGAACTGCCTCTTCTGCTCATCTTATGCCACTCTCAGAGCTAAGCTTGTCCTACCTGTGCTTCAAATCAGACAAGGGCAAAAGAGCACTGGCCCAGAAACACATGACTGTATGTGCAGAGAACTGTGTTACTTCTGCCAACGCTTAAATACATGCATACTCCTGCACACACCCCTGACTAACATTCCCAGGATCCAGACCACTAGCACCCAGAGCCAGAAAAATAGAGACAAACCAACAGATTTCTAGCATATCTTCAGCTACTTAAAGGTTTGATTTAAAAAAATGCGCACATATTTCAGTAAAGCAGGTTAATCTTTCAGGTTTGTTTTTGGTTGGTTGGTTGTTTTTCCTTTTAGACATAGCACATTCAAGAAGACAACAGTTTAGTGTTGAGATAATCACAACTTTCACAAGAAGCCCAGAGTCTCTGTGTCAGGGTGTGTGCAGAGGTATCATATGTTACACTAGACTAGTTACAGCCCTGGTACATTTTGGTGTCACAAACAGGGACACCAACTACCAAGCTAAGATAGTCAAGCAAAATTTTAATAACAAAACATACCAAGGGTGGTGGCTGAGGACCAGGGCAGAAAGTTAGCAAGGGGAAAAGTGATGAAGCCATTCACCCTACATTTCATCCTCAGTACCCCTTGAATACTATTCACTGCCTGAGCCTTGGCTTCAATCACAGGTAAGAAAATTCCTCCTGCACTCTGGTCTGCCTCTTAACACTTTATCTGTCCTTGTTACAATATTAATAGGTAATATATGCAGACCAATTGCAAGCTTATGACTATGGCTCTAAGGAAAACATGAAGAAATATAACCAGGTAAGGCAATACAGTTTCCCTGAGAACTCATCCTCAGGTCCTGAAAAAAAATAACAGAAAAATTCACATTTCAGCACCTGTAGGTGATACAGGCAGAGGGAGAGAGTGTCTGAGGTAATGTTTCACCTGAATTTAATAGTCATAAAAGTCTATTCACAGAGAAGGCATAGGCAGGTCCTTGCAGACAGCTAAGGAAGTTTGGTTTGCCTGTTCTACTGATGCAGACATGTATTCAAAAACACTTCCAAAAGGCTAAGAGCCATAGCCAAGTCCTAGAACTGGATGAATATGGAGCTCTTCACTGCCCCAAAAATCCTCAAGGTCAGACTTTCACTTATGGGAAGAAATGAATCTCACAGCTAAAAGTGGGTATGCATACCTTGGTGTGGGGAAGCTATTTACTGCAAAGATAAAACAGAAGGGATGATTCAGTACTGCTGTGATGAACTAATATATCCTGTATAGAAAAAAGGAAAGAGACAAAACTTGGTCACTGGGCACTTTGGTTATTTCTTAGTCAACACTCAGAAATACTTCACTCCTGCAACACTGGTAACTTATCTGACAGCTTTTTTTAGATTTGATCTAATCAGTTGAACTACAGTGAGCATTTCTGAGTCAGGGCAAGTTATTTTATGGGTGGCACACTATTTTACAGGTGGAGAAAAACTCCAGAGGTTGCATCCACACGGGCTTTAAATACTGAAGTTTAAATTTTCAAGTGGCAATAGTCTATTCCCCATACTTTGGATGGTTAGGAAACTGCCCCCAAAAAGCAGTCCATGCAAAAAATAATAGAACCACCCTTAGATAATAGGGTTAAATTTAAAAGCATCTTGTGCATGGTCCCTTACCACCCTGTTGACTAATAGCCATCCTGCATTAAGTCATTTGCCTCATGTCTCAGAAGATCTCTATTCTACTTGTCCATGTTTTTTTGATTTCCTCTGTAATGATATTACTCCATCAGTATCAACATTGTGATCTACAGTGTCAAGTGAAGTCTGCTCTAATACAACTGAAAGTCTTTCACTCCCTGCCCCATAAAAGCATGCAGAGGACCCTATATAAGCCAAACACAGGACACATAAGAACAGTTACTCTGCAGTCCTTGCCTGATAAACACACTGCTCTTTCCATATACCCACCTCTTTAGTACACAAGTAGGTGTCAATTCATAGCTGTATATTAAGGAAAGACCTAGAAACAGAATGGATTGTTCCTTTTCGTGGGAAGCAGGGAATGGTGTTAGGGAAATAGACACTAAGAGGGTGGTCTTCATCCTTACTGTTTTATTGCACTGAGTACAGAAGGGAAAGAGAGGTGCTTGCACAGAATTCTTTCTCTAAACACAACCCCTGCTATAACAGCATTCACTCAAGTCTCCTCCCTTTCTTACAGCCTACTCCTCCTGTGTACAAGATAGAGGAAATAAACACCCCAATTGCTGTCTGGAGTGGTGGACGGGACAAATTTGCAGATCCGAAAGACACGGCAAAGCTGCTTCCTCGGATTAAAAATCTCATTTATCATGAGCATTTTCCTTCTTGGGGCCATCTTAGTTTCATCTGGGGCCTTGATGCACCTCAGAAAATGTATCGAAAAATCATTGAACTGCTAGAAAAATATCCTTAAAGCTTCACACACAGGGAATTCAATCACTCAGTAAAAACCCCCAAAGATTTCTGTTTAGTGGTAGAATACGGGTATAGGGATTGGTATAGGTATTTACAAGCCACTGCTGGTTGGTTTGCGACTTTCTAACATTGTTTTCCATGGTGTTACATTATCTTGGTGACTGCAGTCTCTCTGAAGAAGTTGAGGTACATGGGGATGACCACTGAAATTACAAACATACTAGAAGGAATACTTCATGAATTACTTCGTTTGGAAGATTTTTAGGACTGATTTTATTACAACTCAGATTTCATTTTTTTTTCCCCTGTACATCAATACCACATATTACACCAGAGACAGAGGCGTTATCCCATGAAAACTCCAAACTGGAAGAAGTTTTTTCTCTGCTGAAGTACTACTGATCTTTGCTTAAATTAAATCATCTATCCTTTTGACAGAGTGTTTTAACTGTTTTCCTCTCATCACATTATCAACAGCAGCAAGCCAGACCCAAAAGACCTTCATGTGTGAGATTACCCTGGTGTCTAAGCAGGCAGTAGCTGGCTTTAATGGCCCAAATGCCAAAGAATCCAACATCAGAAAACCTATGTCAGAGTGAAATCATCTGATGGTTGGACAGATGCAGAAGCTCACTTATCCTCACACTAATGGTTTGTTAGCTCCCTTACTACAAAAAGCACAACTGTCTTCACGCTCTTAACCTGGCAGCTGAGGAAATGCACACAAGGAATGACAGATCCACCTCAAGAGATGTTCCTGGCACTGTCAGTGAAGAAGTTAATTCAAGTTCTTCTGGCTTCTCAGTTCACTATGTTAGTGTGCTCACCTACAAGATTATTCCAGGAAGCAAAAAATCACATGAAAGGGATCATCATTTCAGGCTAAGACATGGTAGTTCTGCCACTATGGGTATTTCTGGGCAGGAGTTTAAACTCAGATTCCTCAATTAAGACTAGTGGCAAGTGAAAACCATTTGATGATAATCTGGGAGATAGATATAAATATATAAGCAAAACATGTTTGCCTAATGCAATATAGAAAACACATGCTAAGGAGATGACACACTTTCTCTAGCAACTTGTGGTACCACCAGAAACTGAGCTCACATCTTCTGGAGATGTTCCCAGTCCAAGACACAGAGATCATGAAGGGGCTGCACATTATTTATAAACCCCAGTTTCCTGACCATGCCATAGAACTCAGAACAGACCTAGCCCACCTCCACAATGTAGTAGGGCAAGCCTGGCACAGGCACATCAAACATTACACTCAATACAAACGTGAGCTTTAGGTCTGAAGGGAAGGGGAGCAGGGCCAGGAATTCCATCTTAGGTAAAGATGAAGCAAGAACCTCTTTGAACTGACTGGCAGCAAAGCCTCTACTTTCATTCACACTTCTGCAACACCACCCAACATTCAAACAAGATGCACATGATGAACCTAACAGCATGATAGTGTACAAAACATACGATGGAAGGGAGGGGAAACAAACAAAAAAAATCACAAAACCAACCTCCTACCCTCACCTTTTACCTGCCACAAAATGAGGGCTACCCATGAACCAAGTTGGAAACCCTGTGAACTATTGTTGGAGCAACCCCCGGGCACAGTTACAGGTTAAGCAAAGAAGAGATTCAGAGCAGCCCTGCGGAGAAGGACTTGATTGATGAGAAAATGAACATGAGCCAACTTCAGTGTGCGCTCACAGCCCAGAAAGCCAACCTTATCCTGGGCTGCATCAAAAGGAGCATGACCAGCAGGTCGAAGGAGGTGATCCTGCCCCTCTACTCTGCTCTCGTGAGACCTCACTTGGAGTACTGTGTGCAGTTCTGGTATCGCCCGAGACAGCCCCTGCCCTGTAGCTGTTGCACAGAGGTAGGGGACCAAAAAGACGACGAGGGTTGGAAGAGAGTTCCAGCTCGACGTCGTGGGAAACCCTCCCCCCTTCCTGCCCTGCTTCCCCAGGTGTCCCTCCGTAATAGGTTCGAGGCCCTGGATCTTGAAGGAGAGGTAGGTGAGAATGTGGGGCAAGGCCAGCCCACAAGGCCACATAGGAAAAGGTGGTCGACTTTGCACCTCAAGACTGCCTCTGTTAAGAAAGAAAGAAGGGTCATTGTAGTAGGGGATTCCCTTCTGAGAGGAACAGAGGGCCCGATATGCAGAGTTGACCCTCATCATAGGGAAGTGTGTAGTCTGCCTGGAGCCCGGATCAGGGATATCACCAGGGCGCTCCCCAACCTGGTGCACCCGACAGACTACTACCCGCTGCTGGTCTTCCAGACAGGTGGGGAGGAAGCTGCTTCCCGCAGTCTGAGGGGGATGAAGAAAGACTACAGGGCCTTGGGGCGGATGGTGAAAGAGTCTGGGGCTCAAGTGATCTTCTCCTCACTCCTTCCATCTTCCACTGATGATGTGGGAAGGAATGGGAAGATTCAGTTCATAAACGATTGGCTTCAAGACTGGTGCTACAAGGCAGGGCTTTGGATTCTTTGATAACAGCTGGTTTTATAGGGCACCAGTCTGGACAATGACAAGTGAGAAAGGTTTGTCTCACAGAGGCAAAAGGATGCTGGGGCACGAATTAGCAGGGCTCATTTGGAGAGCTTTAAACTAGATTTGAAGGGGGATGGGGTTGTAGCTGGGCTTGCCCCAGTGGGGCAGCGCTCCAGAATTGATGAAGACTGGGAGGCCTCCTATAATCCTAGGGTGAAATCGGTGTGCTCAGCTCGCTCCCTGAAATGTCTGTACACCAATGCGCACAGCATGGGAAATAAGCAGGAGGAGTTGGAAACCTGTGTTAAGTCAGGAGACTATGATCTGGTGGCAATTACAGAGACATGGTGGGACAGCTCACATGACTGGAATATAGTCATGGAGGGCTATGTCCTTTTCAGGAAAGACAGGCCAGCCAGGAAGGGTGGTGGGGTTGCTCTTTATGTGCGGGAGGAACTACAATGCACTGAGTTCTGTCTGGGGACAGATGATGAGCGAGTTGAGAGTCTGTGGGTGAGAATTAAGGGGCAGGCTGGCAGGGGCGATACTGTTGTAGGTGTCTGTTACAGACCACCGGATCAGGGTGAGGAAGTTGACGAGGCCTTCTACAGGCAGCTGAGAGCGGCCTCACAGTCACAGGCCGTGGTCGTCGTGGGGGATTTTAACTTCCCTGATGTTTGCTGGAAGGACCACTCGGCAACCCAGCCGCAGTCCAGGAGGTTCCTCCAGTGTATGGATGGTAACTTCCTCCTGCAAATGGTGGATGAGCCGACCAGGAGAGGAGCGCTGCTGGATCTCATCCTCACTAACAAGGAGGATCTGGTTGAAGCAGTAAGGGTTGAGGGCTGCCTTGGTTGCAGCGACCACGAGATGGTGGAGTTCAGGATCTTGTGTGGTAGGACTAGGAGAATATCAAGTAGAATTGCAACCCTGGACTTTAGCAGGGCAAACTTTGGCCTTTTCAAGCAATTGCTAGGGGAAATCCCATGGGCAAGGCTGCTTGAAGGTAAAGGGGCCCAAGATAGTTGGTTGACATTCAAGGACTGCTTTTTCCATGCTCAAGATCAGAGCATCCCGACACGTAGGAAGTCAAGGAAGAGGGCCAAGAGACCTGTGTGGCTAAATAGGGAATTGCTGGGTATGCTCAAGTGGAAGAGGAGAGTTTACAGGTCATGGAAGGAGGGGCTGGCCACTTGGGAGGAATATAAGGCTGCTGCTAGAGGATGTAGGAAGACAGCTAGGAGGACTAAGGCATCCTTAGAATTAAACCTGGTGAGAAGGGTCAAGGACAGCAAAAAGAGCTTTTTCAAATACATGGCAGACAAAACTAACACCAGAGGCAATGTAGGCCCACTGATGAACGGGATGGGTGCCCTGGTGACAGAAGATACAGAGATGGCAGAGTTACTGAATGCCTTCTTTGTCTCTGTCTACTCTGCTGCAGGCAGTCCTGAAGAGCCCTATACCCCGGAGACCTTAGATGAAGTCAGGTCGAAGGAGCGGTTTGCCTTAGTCGATGAGGAATGGGTTAGAGATCAGTTGAGCAATCTGGACATCCATAAATCCATGGGTCCAGACGGGATGCACCCGCGGGTGCTGAGGGAACTGGCAGAAGTCATTGCTAGACCGCTCTCCATCATCTTTACCAAGTCTTGGGAAACGGGAGAGGTGCCTGAGGACTGGAGGAAAGCAAATGTCACCCCAGTCTTCAAAAAGGGCAAGAAGGAGGACCCGGGTAACTATAGACCGGTCAGCCTCACCTCCATCCCTGGGAAAGTGATGGAACACCTTATCCTTGGTGCCATCTTAAGGCATATCAAGGATAAGAGGGTTATGAGGGGCAGTCAACATGGCTTCACCAGGGGGAAATCATGTTTGACCAATCTCTTAGCCTTTTATGAGGAAATAACACGGTGGATGGATGATGGCAGAGCGGTGGATGTGGTCTACCTTGACTTCAGCAAAGCATTTGACACGGTCTCCCACAGCATCCTCACGGCTAAATTGAGGAAGTGTGGACTGGATGATCAGGTAGTGAGGTGGACTGCGAACTGGCTGAAGGAGAGAAGCCAGAGAGTTGTAGTCTATGGGGCTGAGTCTAGTTGGAGGCCTGTATCTAGTGGAGTGCCTCAAGGGTCAGTACTGGGACCGGTATTATTTAATATATTCATCAACGATTTAGATGAGGGAATTGAGTGTACTATCAGCAAGTTTGCTGATGACACTAAGCTGGGAGGAGTGGCTGACACGCCAGAAGGCTGTGCTGCCATCCAGCGAGACCTGGACAGGCTGGAGAGTTGGGCAGGGAATAACTTGATGAAATATAACAAGGGAAAGTGTAGAGTCCTGCATCTGGGCAGGAACAACCCCAGGTTCCAGTATAGGTTGGGGAACGACCTGCTAGAGAGCAGTGTAGGGGAGAGGGACCTGGGGGTCCTAGTGGACGACAGGATGACCATGAGCCAACACTGTGCCCTTGTGACTAAAAAGGCCAATGGCATCCTGGGGTGTATTAGAAGGGGGGTGGTTAGTAGGTCGAGAGAGGTCCTCCTTCCCCTCTACTCTGCCCTGGTGAGACCCCATCTGGAATATTGGGTCCAGTTCTGGGCCCCTCAGTTCAAGAAGGACAGGGAGCTGCTGGAGAGAGTCCAGCGCAGGGCAACAAAGATGATTAAAGGAGTGGAGCATCTCCCTTATGAGGAAAGACTGAGGGAGCTGGGTCTCTATAGTTTGGAGAAGAGGAGACTGAGGGGTGACCTTATAAGTGTCTATAAATATATAAAGGGGGAGTGTCACGAGGATGGAGCCAGGCTCTACTCAGTGGCAAACAATGATAGGACAAGGGGTAATGGGTGCAAACTGGAACACAAGAGGTTCCACTTAAACTTGAGAAGAAACTTCTTCTCAGTGAGGGTGACGGAACACTGGAACAGGCTGCCCGGGGAGGTTGTGGAGTCTCCTTCCCTGGAGACATTCAAAACTCGCCTGGACACATTCCTGTGTAACATTATCTAGGTGTTCCTGCTCCGGCAGGGGGATTGGACTAGATGATCTTTCGAGGTCCCTTCCAATCTCTAGCATACTGTGATACTGTGTGATACTGTGATCCTCAACACAAAAAGGACATGGAACTGTTGGAACAAGTCCAGAGAAGGGCCACAAGGATGATCAGGGGACTGGAGCACCTCCTGTATGAAGACAGGCTGAGAAAGTTGGGGCTGTTCAGCCTGGAGAAGAGAAGGCTGCGGGGAGACCTCACAACAGCTTTCCAGTATCTGAAGGGGGGCCTATAGGGATGCTGGGGAGGGACTCTTCATTAGAGACTGTAGCGATAGGACAAGGGGTAACGGGTTAAAACTTAAACAGGGGAAGTTTAGATTGGATATAAGGAAGAAATTCTTTACTGTAAGGGTGGTGAGACACTGGAATGGGTTGCCCAGGGAGGTTGTGAATGCTCCATCCCTGGCAGTGTTCAAGGCCAGGTTGGACAGAGCATTGGGTGAGATGGTTTAGTGTGAGGTGTCCCTGCCCATGGCAGGGGGGTTGGAACTTGATCTTAAGGTCCTTTCCAATCCTAACTATTCTGTGACTCTATGATTCTATGTGAACATGGCTCTGCCCAACTGAAAAAAAGCAGCCAGCAGAAACTGGGGACTGCCCTTTCTGGGAGATGAATGAAGAAGGAGCTAGCAGTTCTTCAAAATCTGATCATGTGGACACAAGTCTGAGATTAATCTTACTCAGCTTGGAAGCAGCCAACAAGGCATACTCCAGGATATCAAGTTCAAACTTCTCTAGAGGGCCTTCCTGTTCCATAGAAGAAGAACCATCCACAGTGCTGTGGTTTAAGCCTATCTGGCAACTAAGTACTATGCAGCCACTTACTCACTCCCACGCCCTGCAATAGGATGGGGAGGAGAAACACAAAAACCAATAAAACCCGTGTGTTGAGATAAGAACAGTTTAATAATTGAAACAAAGTAAAATATAACAACAATAGTAATAATAAAAGGAAATATATACAAAAAGGAATAAAACAAACAACAACAACAAAATTAACAAGTAGTGCACAATACCATTGCTCTCCACCCACTGACCAATGCTCAGCCTGTCCCCAGTCAGTGATAAGCAGCTCCCAGCCAACTCCCCCCAGTTTATATACTGGTCTTGATGTGCTGTGGTATGCAATACCCCTTTGACTAGTTTGGGTCAGGTGCCCTGTCTCTGTTCCCTCCTGGCTTCTTGTGCCCCTCCTCATTGGCAGAGCATGAGAGACTGAAAAGTTCTTGATCAGGGTAAGTGCTACTGAACAATAACTGAAACATCGGTGTGTTACCAGTGTTGCTCTCAGGCTAAAGCCAAAACACAGCACTGCACCAGTTACTAGGAAAAACCCCAAAACTCTATTCCTGTATGAAACCAGGACATACAGAAACAACCTGCAAAAGGTTACAGGGAATCATTCAGGTCAGTAACCAACACTTCTTGTGAAAGAGCACAAGATGTAGTGTCTTCCATACTGAACACCTAAATTAGCCTGGTGTTCAACCTAACATCACCTCTGACCTGAGTTTCACAAAGGATTGCAAAATTCTCTAATGGAAGACAGCGTTTTCGAAATAGTCTTCAGATAGCCTCTCTAACTGTCATAATTTTCTGCAACCAAACACTTTCTTCTTACTGCTCCCTGGAACACAGTCCTGGAATGGGCAGTGTCTGGACAAGAGAAACACCCACCGCTTACACTTCCTTACAAGTCAGTTAGCACTCAGAAAACAACCTTGCAGCACTGCTAGTGTCCCTTGCACCTCTGTTTCTGCATACGGTTAACTCAACAGTTACAGTGAGCACAGATAAAGCCCTCCATGGCATAGACCAAAGCCTGTATTTTATAATATTTTCAGCCAAACTTAGTGAACTACAAGTGTGGCAGGAAAACCCCAAGGTAACAAGGTGTTTGAACAAACAGTGTTTTTACTGCTTGCCCAAATCAGTCCCTTCTGTTCTTAAAGCCAGGACCAAGACCTGTTGCCCCATATCACAGCCACCAGCACCAAGAGTGATACTTCAAGGCTGGGATGCCAAGCAGCCAGAACAGCCACACACACAACAGAAAGGATGGTGAATGCCCTTACCATGCCTGGGAGTGTAGGGTGATCTAAATATGAGTATCTTAGACCACACCTAGACTTCTATGTCCAGGTCTGGGCTACAGGAAAGACAACACGATCAATATCTGCTGAGCAAGTTTAGCAGAAGGCCACCAAAAAATAATTCAAAGTTATCACGGGCTGACTGCTATGTTGACTGGACATTCCTAGCATAGTTTAAGGCCAGCCTATAGTACTGCACTGCGCTGCGCTGCACTACACTAAACTGCACTGCACTGCACTGCCCTGCCCTGCATTCTTGCTCAGAAATCCCGGCTGGCAGCCTACTGCAACCCCCCTACCTCCTCTGCCTTAGGGAAGAAAGTCCCCTCCTCTCCAGCGACTCCTCTCTCCCGGTTCCACACCCCCATACGGACCACCACGGCTTCATTTAAACCTTCCTCCTCCTCCTCCTCACCCATATACCTTCCTTAGCAACAGTGCTGTGTTCCCCCTCAGTCAGCCGCACTGGCGTTCAGGTTAGCTCAGGTGCGGCACGCTGGCCCCGGTACCTAGCACCTATGGACTGGAATGGCTGGGCCGACACAGGCGCGCGGGTGAGGTGCTTGGGACACCCGCGGATGTGCACGGGCCTTCGCGCTCCCCTCGCCCTCCCGGGCAGTCGTTGGGATGCAGCCGCAGCCCCGGGCACGCGGCGGCGCCCGCGGTCGTTGGGTTGTGGCGGCTGGGGACCCCGCGGTGCAGAGCGGACCGCGGCCACGCCGCTCGCCCCGGCGCCGCGCAGGCTCCTCCCTTCGCCCCGCACCGTAACCCGGGCCGGCTGCGGCGGCGCAGGGCGCTCCGCTCGGCTCCTCACCGCCGTGCCGCCGGCACCTGCCCGGTCCTGAGCGGCGTGCCCACGGCACCGAGTCCCGGCGGCGGAGGCCCGGGCCGCCCGGCCGCTCCTGCCCGCTCCCCTAGGCCCCCCGCAGGGCCGCGGGAGCCCCTCGCTTTGTCTCCAGAACCGGCCGCCGGAGCCGCTCACACGGATGCGAGATCCGGTAAGCAGCCGTCGCCTTTCCCGGGGAAGCGCGGGGCAGGCAGCTGGCGGAGCGCTGCTTCCATCCCGCTGCTTTGCGCCAATGGTCCCTGCGGGCAGAGGGAGAAGGGGGTGGCGCCGCGCTGTGCCGTGCCGTGCCGTGCCCCTTCCGGGGCCGGGGAGCGGTGTGAGCCGTGGCCGGTACGAGCTCCATCAGCCCTGCTACCTTGGTGAATGTCCCTGGTGCGTGATCACCCCGTCCGGTCCCCGCCCCGGTGTCAGGTGCCGCGATCCCGGGAGGCCTGTTGGAAATTGCCCTCCTCCCGGCAGGGCGGAACTTTGTATGCGAGGAGCTTCGGGCATGTGCGTGCTGGGGAGAGGAGGATGGTGCGGGGATGCGGCGGGGGCATCTCGGTGTCACTTCGTGCGGGAGGCGAAAGCAGCGAGTCCCGCTGGGCAAAGCTGCGGGTTTTACTGCGCCCACGTAAAGAGGTAATGATAGGTAGTGTGGTGGGGAGCAGAGCTCGGAACGTTATCCTGTGTCAGGGAGAAAGCAAACTCAGAACAGCACTCTATTTTTAAGTAATTTCCATATATTTGTGAAAGATCAGCATCAAAACTTAAAGTGAAAGAATGTAAAAATAAAACACTCGAGAAGAAACAGTGTTCGCTGGGCATCAGTAACTCTCACATAAGCTGTTTCTGCTCGAGTACCTCATTTTGCACCTACCTCTGACTGAGTGCAAGTGCTCTGAGAGCGTAATTCGCTTCTCTCACACATGGATGCACTGCCCTGTTTCAGAAGGGTGGCAAAAAGTAGCTTCTGGAAGAATTCCTCTTGGTTTGGAATTATTTTATTTAATATGCCAATGGTTCTGAATGCTTGTCTGAGAAATCATGGGCAGGAAAAAGCCACCTTTTACTGAGAACAGAAAGTGGTGAGATTATGAAGTCTTGGATGGACTGTCATTCCCAAGGAATTAATTCCTCTGGCAAAGGCCAGCCTTGAGAAAGTTCTGTCTTCACAGTAGCGGATTTTCTCCTTATTGCAGGCTGAAGAGCTTGACTGTCCAAAGCTGTGGCTGGCATATATTTGATAAATTGCCTTAGACCATCAGGTCCTAGAAAATAGGATACAGACTCGGAACTTCATTAAATAATCTTAGGAGAAGGGAGTCCAGGTTTGTTGTTATGGGTGTTGCAGAAGCAATGTATTGTATTACTCTAACAGCTGGATTTTCTGATATACTAAACGCATTTCTGCCTGGTATATTGCATGTTTATTTATACCTTTAGGTGCTAGTATTGACAAGCCCAGAATTTCATGGATCACAGGAGAGCGTAGGAAGCATTCCTCTCAAATCCTGTATAATTCTGTAGGTGAAAAAAATCATGCTTACATTTCTTTAATGGCATTTTAAACGGCTGTAAGTGCAGGGGGGTTGTTTTGTAGTATAATGTTTAAAAACAGGGTTCAGTGTCTTGATCAATCTTGCAGTCATGTGTATTATTAATATTGCTGTGGGGTTACAGCAGAGGCATTTCTCATGTGTTTTTTTTTATGTGTATGAAGTATGTTCAAGGTCAGGCCTTCAGGCATTTCCTGGAAGTTAATTACCAAGCTGAGGAAAAGTATAGCTCAAGGTGAGGGGCATCATGAACTCTTCAGCTGCTGAGGGAGTGGCAAGGTCACTTATGCATGAACACACAGAGCACATGCTGTATAAAAATAAATATTTGGTCTCTGCTGGACTTGTATGCATAGGGGGCTATTTTTTTTTTTCTCTTCTTATCTAATTCCTGAGATTTTATTTCTGTATCAAAGGTTACATTTCAAGTTTGTGTTCTGAAACTTAGTTTGCTGCTGTGAAAGTCTTTGTCTATATCGTTTTAATAAATATTAAAGATTTAGATTGCCATGCCAGAAAACAAATTTTCTGGCCATAGTTTCCATTATAAATAGAAGTATTGGTCCATTAAATCAAATTATCTTGCTCATAAATTTCGTGAATGATTCGTGTGTAGTGGCCTCATACTGTTGTTGCATTGGCATCCCTGTTACAAAAATCCGGCATTTTCAGTTTTACATGGATGGTGATACCTTGTGGTAATGCTGTGAGTCAGGCACCTGCTCAGACACAGCCCATTGACTACCATTTCCTACTGGCAGTTCTAGATGACTCACAGTTCAGTGCAACATGGAACTGCATTAGGGAAGCTGGGGCTCAATGTGCAAAGCGTCTTCCTCTTTTAGCATCTCTGAACCACTGTTGAAAGGCCTTCAGAGATGTCTAGGTCTTTCCATTGATACAGAATGGGGCTTGGCTAGGCTGCAAAGGTCACTGGAATCATCCTGAAGTGATAAGCAAATAATTCTTCAATAAGCTCAAAAATAGTCTGTGCAAAGCTGCACTGGGATAAATAGCCTGTTGGCCAGCCTGTGCTCAGCTTCGACATTCTGGGTAATTCAACTAACTTTCAAGCAGCCCTGTGAGCTGACTGTGTTACAGTCAGTGCTGCTATAAAACACATGCTTACCATTGTCACTCTTAGCAAATTACAAGAGATGAAATATTATAACTATCCAAGGGGGGGGGGGGGGGGGGAATTTGTCTAAAGTGCACTGTATTCTTCTCATAGAGCCTGACATTCCTTTTCCCCCATCTGCTCATAGCATGAGAAATCCTGAATCACCTAGGACAGGGAAGGAGGTCAGAGACTTCATTATGAAACCAACTAACTGTGTTATCTTACTATAAGCATCATATTGCAGAAACATGCCAGATTAACTGGTAGTTATTTGTACTGGTTGACCACATTCCATCCTTTGGTAACATAGTTATTAGCTTTTTGCTTGCACCTTGCTTACTCAACTATTAGTGTACAAAATAGTCAGAATCCATTGAACTAATGCCCCAGATTAGTTTTTGTAGATTTGAGACCACAACACAAGCTTCATTCTTTCTAGACAATTTAATAGACTTCAGATGAATGTGAATTTGTTTGGGGGCTTTGAGCAACCTGGTCTAGTGGAAGATGTCCCTGCCCATGGCCAGGGGGCTGGAACTAGATGATCTTTAATGTCCCTTCCAACCCAGACCATTCTATGATTCTATGTCAGAAATGTCAATTAATTTTACTTCTCCTTTTCTTGTTGCCTGCATTTTGAACCATAAGGAAGTAAGGCAGAATAGGAATTTTCAACAGATTGCACAAGAAATGTATTATTGCAGCCAGTTATTGACCCAATTAACAAATATCCTTATTAGAGGTTATAGAGTATGAAAGTGTTATAAAATTAAGTAGCAAATATTTCCAGAAGAACCATTACCTTTATAGGAAGAACCGGAAGCTTCTTAACCCTTTTTTATTCTGGAGGGTCTTCGTCTTTGTGGGGAAATAGGGTTACAGGTAGAAAAATCTGTGAAATCATGCTTTCTACATTTCTTGGAAGTCTATGAAGCGTTGCAGACCTCTGTGCTGATTTTAGCCTCTCATTTGTTTCCCTTAGCAACACAGCTGCTGGTCTTTATCTTGGAAGTCAGTTTTATCAGTGATGTTGTGTATTGCAGGTATCTTTTTTTCAGTATTTCAGCTAAATCATCAAAGGATAAATTACGTTACAACAGCTATTTCTTTTATTTCTGCCCTCTTCTGGTTTACTGTGCCTTGGTACACTAATTTTCATGCGGGATTGCTGTGGACTTCCTAAAGGAAGGAAAATGACGCTGTTTATGTCACGTCTAGAACACCTTTTTAGTGGGTCACTGTCAAGATGCTGTTCTATATTGCATAAGTATATTTCAGTGACTGCTGAAAAGGCTACTGCTTGTAATCCAAGACGTTCTAACATCAGTGATACTTTATCCATTATCCTAAAAATGCTTTTCTGCTGAAACTGAATGGTGTTAACAAAAAAGGGACAGGGAGGGACTGTGTTTTGTTTTGATACAAGAAACCACAAGAGAAAGAACTTTCAGCAGTTCACAGATGAATGTTTCAATGTTCAGTGATTCTAGTCTGTTTTTAGCATATTCTCTTAAAAGTGACTGATATCTTTGTAGACAGAGCATATTAATAAATCTGGTAGAGAGCCATCACCTATGGGTACAGCTCAGATGCATAGGGTTATGTTGTAGCAGCACAAACATACTAGATTTTGACTTCAAAACAGTCTGCATAAAAAATAAATGAGAAAATAGGTGGAGTCAGAGGTCTCCTCTGTGCTCTGAAGCAATGGGAAAAGCCTGTAGGTTCTACACTCATATTCTCTGTAGCAAGTAAAAGACAGGATCTTCCATGTGTCATTTTGGATGTTATCTGTATATTGTAGTGGTTTATCAGTCTCAGCTGACCCAATAGCAATATAATTTTATTTCTGTAGCTTCTTAATGCAGTAATGTTTGTATCTGTTCCAAAAGGAAAACTGTCCATAGAAAACAGCCAGTCAATGATATTCAAGTGGCTACATTAACTAACTGAAATAATCCAAATATTTGTACAGCAACAATAAAAGTGTTCAGATAATTGGTATAACTTTTTAGCTATAAAAAAAATAGACCCTTATGTCACCCACAGTTTCTGTAGGTGAAAATACAGCTCAGTTTTGTGAGGCAAGATACAGCACTGCATGGCGTAGCCATATAAGCAAGACTTGGGTTTGTCAGATCTGCACGTGGAAGATCTCCTCTGCACCTGATTTCTCCCTCTCAGTACCCAAAGCAGGTGAAGATGCTATTGTTGACATGCTGCAGACACAATCTGCAGAGAGACCTGTGGGCAGCGTGCTGGGAGATGGGTGAGTCTGGGCCTTCACAGTAGGTGAACAAGAGGATACAATCTTGACCCACTTCTAAGAAAGATGATTGTATAGCTTGGCATCTGTCTCTGGGAATTAGTAGAGCCTGGGAGGAGGTCTTGGCTATGTTTTTTAAATGGAGTCGTATAGCTACGGGGCAGTGTTATGAACTGTTACTGAGACAGGCGTTTCTACAGGCAGGTTTAGTAGCTCTTACTATGAAGAACAACTTCTCCATTGAAAGATGTGGGGTTCTCAGCAAGCAGCTCCTTGCGGTGCTTCTTTGCAATGAAAAACCATTCTGTTGGTTTTGTTTGGTTTTTTTGTTTCTCTGCACAAGAGAATGATTTTGCCATGACATTCAATGCTTTGTTGTTTTTTCCAGAAGAGACTACTTGCTATACTAGCTGAATCATTTGCTGTAGCAGTGAACAGTTGTTTCAGGAAACATGTTGACAGATGAACATGCTGTTTCCTTTTGGAGAGAACCAGCAGAAGGCAATTTTCTATTTAGGCTGTTTGTTAGCAGATTTTATGTGAAGACCAAGTGTGTGTATAAATTCCCGTGCGCTGTGCCAGTATATGGCCTGGCATTTCAAAAAGAGCTGAATGAGTTTGGTGCCTGCATTTTTAACCTATTTTTCACCAAATTGACTTGAACATTTCAAGGTACAGAAGTACAAGTGTCTGCATCATGGGAGACATTGGCCTGAAACAGTCCTTTATCTGTCAGTCACTGACTGACACTTTTATATTTTGAGACACATCTAAATTCTAGGATTCTATAATCATCACACATAGAAAAATGGATTCTTACTGTTTTAACTTCTCATGACAATACTGAAGTAACCTTTTTCTTACAGTGGGCTAAATGCAGAGTAGTGCTGTCAAGTAGTTTATAAAAAGCAGAGCTATGCCACA